AAAAAAAAAAAAAAAAAAAAAAAAAAAAAACCCATTTTGTGAAAATACGGGCAAAACTCAGCATTTTCTATAAGAATGCGTGACGTAAATTAAATTCTCCAAATTCTCCAGAATAAGGATGGGAGGTCAAAAATGAAGAGTTGTGTAAGTCTACTCAAGGTTTGCCATCATCAGAGAGAGAAAAACAAATATCATATATTAACACATATATGTGGAATCTAGAAAAATGGTATAGACCAGGGGTCCACCACCCCTGGGCCGCGGACCAGTAGCAGTCCACGGTCTGTTAGGAACAGGGCCACACAGCAGGAGGTGAGCAGCGGGTGAGCGAGCAAAGTTTCATCTGCCGCTCCCCATCGCTCCCCATCGCTCCCGCTCACATTACTGCCTGAACCATCCCGGTGTCTCCCATCCCCATCCATGGAAAAACTGCCTTCCACGAAACCGGTCCCTGGTGCCAAAAAGGTTGGGGACTGCTGGTATAAATTATCCTTTTTGCAAAGCAGAGAGAGAGACATAGACGTAGAAAACAAATGTATAGATACCAAGCGGGGAAGGGGGTGGGGTGGGAGGAATTGGGAGATTGGGATTGACACATATATACTATTGATACTATGTATAAAATAGAGAGCTAATGAGGACATACGATATAGCACAGGGAACTCTACTTAATGCACCGTGGTGACCTAAATGCGAAGGAAATCCAAAAAAGAGGGGATATGTGTATATGTATAGCTGATTCATTTTGCTGTACAGTAGAAACTAACACAATATTGTAAAGCAACTATACTCCAATAAAAATTAATTTTAAAATAAAACCCTACAAACAGTGAGAGCTGGAGAGGGCATGGAGAAAGGGAACCCTCCTATGCTGTTGGTGAGAGTGGAAATTGATAATAGCCACCGTGGAGAACAGTATAGAGGTTCCTTAAAAAACTAAAAATAGAGCTACCAGTATGGTCCAGCGGTCCCACTCCTGGGCGTATATCCAGGGAAAGCCATGATTTGAAAGGACATATGCACCCCAAGGTTCATTGCAGCTCTATTTGCAATAGCCAAGACATGGAAGCAACCAAAATGTCCATCAACACATGAATGGATAAAGGAGATGTGGTCCATATAGGCAATGGAGTATTACTCAGCCATAAAAAGGAATGAGATAACGCCATCTGCAGCAACACTGACGGACCTATAGATGATCATACTAACTGAACTAAGTCAGACAGGGAAAGACAAATATCATAGGATATCACTTATAGATGGAATCTAAAAATGGATACAAATGAACTACTTGACAAAACAGAAACAGACTCACAGACTTAGAAAAGAAACTTATGGTTGGGGGGGGGAAGCGGGGGGGGGCGGAGGGATAAATTAGGAGGTTGGCATTAACATATACACACTAATATATATATAAAACAGATCATCAACAAGGACCTGCTCTACAGCCAGGGAACTCTACTTTGCACTCTGAAATAACCTAAATGGAGAAAGAACCAGAAAAAGAATAGATATATGGATATGTATAACTGAATCAAGTTGCTGTCCACCTCAAACAAACACAACATTGTAAGTCAACTCTACACCAATATAAAATAAAGTTAAATTAAAACAAAAACAAAAAACGTTTGCCATCAATGCAAGTGAGCCAGTAACAACACTTTGGAGTATGTGCTGTGCTCCCAGATCTGTGATAACATCAGTTGGCCACCACTACGTTCCAGGCCCCAAGCTAGGGACTGGGGATAAATTAATTCCTTAATATTTGTGTACATATAGGTGAAGAGTACACAGGAACTCTCTGTACTATCTTTGCAATTTTTCTGTAGATCTAAAATTATTCCAAATTTAAAAAATAAAAAGATTTATGCACAAGAATTATTGTGATGCTGAGAAATACCACTTCCATGTACCATAGTATTGTGCGCACACATCCTCTCTCCTGGCAACCTGCATGGGGCAGGCTCCAGGTCCCCACGCCCCCAGCTGGCACGGCCTGCCACAGCTGAGCAAACAGACTTGTTGGTATAATACTCAAGCGCAACAGCTCTGCAGACCATACCTATCCATATCCGTAAGGAGTTTTGTCAATCAAATACTGTGAAACAAAGCTCTGGTTTTGGAGAAACACAGGAAACGATGCAGAACATTTTACCGTGAGTTAACTTGCCAGTTTATTACTGGGAATAGATGAAATGCTTGCATTATTTCTGTTAATTTTCAAGAATTGTTCGGTGCAGCCTGATTGCTTATTTGGCTTCCTGGAATTCTTTGCAAACCAAAAGTCCTGACAGAAAGTGCAAGCCCGGAAATAAATGGATGTTCCTAATGAATCAATCTCTTAGAAGTTCAGCTTTTATAATCTGGGATCCACAACAACACTTAGTCATTTTAGCCCTCAAGAAGATGACTTACAAGCTTAGTATAGTGGAATTTATTTTCTATGCAGCTACCCTATTCACCATAAGGCATTTTTATTCTTCATGAGATTTCTGTGGTGAAGAAAATAATGATTGAGACAATAGAATTACTTTACTTATTTACTATTTCTCTCTTTTTTTTTTTTCCCTTGTCTGCACCGTACAGCACGTGGTATCTTAGTTCGCAGACCAGGGGTGGAACACGTGCCCCCTGCAGTGCAAGCACAGAGTCTTAAGCACTGGACTACCAGGAAAGTCCCCCCCACTTTTTTTTTTAAATTATTTCTTATCTATACTCCATATCTCTTCAACAAGATTTGAAAGCATCAAAAATACATGTCATAAAAATAGTGAGGAAATGAATGGAAAGGAAAACTAAGACAGTGTCGCGGATAAGGTCTGCATCTTGATGGTAGCCCATCAGCCTTACAACGTTTTCCGACTTCTGAAAATTACTCAGCACTATTAAGGATTAGTTCTGGTGTAGACAATGCATCAGGAACTTAAAATGGGGTGTCATTTTTAGCAATCATGCTTACCTTTCTCTCTCGCCTCTCAGAAAGCTTTTGGAAAACATTTTGGTTTCTCTGCCCAGTTTGCTGATCGATGCAAATCATCTGGCATCTGTGACAAGGTCCCAAAACCTGGGAGGTGAGAAGGGAAAAGACAGCGTTGCCATGAAAGTGACCAGACTGTCACACTCTGCAGGGAGGAATCTGGGTCCAGGAAGAATCTTTGTAAACAGCCAATTTCAGACTCACAGAGAAATACTCAAACTGCACGGAGCCAGGAAGTGCCGCCTCTTCCCAATGCCCGCTAGGGAATCACCCACATTCGTTTATCAGCTTAAAGGCTACTGCATCAGGGCTTTGAAGAAAACGAAGAGTGATTGTGACTCACAGGTGGTTATCAGGGAATGTTGGGCTTCCTCCAGGGAAGAAAAGAACTGATTGAGGGCATACTGGGAGAAGATGAACAGCCACACACCCTGCGCTGCTCTCGTGGCCACAGATCGCTCGAGACTGCGAGACTGCAGCAAGTAGCTCACACAATCACACGCGCCCCTGTGAAACACACTCACTGAGAGCTGAGAGCTGCTGGCTTTCTTTCTCTTTTTTAATTACTCCACAATACATAACAGAAATTGTTCGGTGTCCGTTCACAGACAGCTACCTCATCCCCAGATTTTGCAGTTTTCACCATGGCCTGGCATTCCCATGGGTTGATGCGCTTAGCTCTTCTCCTTTGAAGCCATGTGCATAATTTCTAATGCTTTGCTGTAATCAATAATTTTGCAATAAAGGCCCTAATTCACATAACTCTCTTTCCTGTTTGAATTTTTCTTTAGGCTAAATCTCCCAAAAGGAGATTATAAAGTCAACAAGTATAAACCTTTTATGACTTGATGATATCCAGTGAAAAATTGCTTTCCAAAAGAGATGTGTTAGATCTTTCCACATTGCAACTACTTCAGCACTGAGTATTATCACCAACAAACATCTCTTAAGCATTTACTTAAAAAAAATTTTTAATTGAAGTATAGTTGATTTACAATGTCTCAGGTACACAGCACAGTGATCTGAAAAAAATATAAATTACATAAATATATATATAATATTTATTTTATATAATAATCATATATAATATAATAAGAATATAAATAGATAATATAAATATATTCTTTTTTCAGATTCTTTTCCATTACAGGTTATTGCAAGATATCAAGTATAGTTCCCTGTGCTATACAGTTAAGTCCTTGTTGTTTATTTTATATATATTAGCATGTATCTGCTAATCCCAGATTCCTAATTTAGCATTTACTTTTTGAAAGGCACATTATTAACTATAGCTTATACTTTTTAATGCCTGCACAGGACAACACTGTATAGATGTAGTGCACTTTTTTTAATCAACTCCATTTTTATGGAGACACAGATGTAGAAAACAAACATATGGATACCAAGGGGGAAGGGGGGTGGGTGGGAGGAATTGGGAGTTTGGGATTGACATATATACATTATTGATACTATGTATAAAATAGATAACTAATGAGAACATACTATACGGCACAGGGAACTCTACTTAATGCACTGTGGTGACCTAAATGAGAAGGAAATCCAAAAAAGAGGGGATATATGTGTATGTATAGCTGATTCATTTTGCTGTACAGTAGAAACTAACATAATATTGTAAATCAACTACACTTCAATAAAAATTAATTTTTAAAAACTTCCCTTTTGGGCTTCCCTGGTGGCGCAGTGGTTGGGAGTCCGCCTGCCGATGCAGGGGACACGGGTTCGTGCCCCAGTCAGGGAAGATCCCACATGCCGCGGAGCGGCTGGGCCCGTGGGCCATGGCCGCTGGGTCTGCGCGTCCGGAGCCTGTGCTCCGCGGCGGGAGAGGCCACAACAGTGAGAGGCCCGCGTACCGCAAAAAAAAAAAAAACAAAAAACCTTCCCTTTTATGGATATTTAGGATGTTCTCCAATTTTTCATATTTATAAAGTATTGCAATGAGTAATTTTGTAAAATATCTTTGCATATTTGTAACAGTATTTTTTATGGAATAGATTTCTATGAGTGAAATTATTGGGTCAAAGGGCATGCATATTTTAACTTTCATTAATTGATGTTTATCAAGTATCATGACCTAAAGAAAGCAAAGCATTTCAGAAAGGTGTTTTTAGAGTCCTTCTTGTATTCATGTACCCAGGTACCTTACAACTTACTTGTTACAAGGTAAATTTCTGACAGTGGTCCTAGTCTAGTTGTAGTGCTTTCTCTTTTCCTTCTTTTCTTCCTTTATTTCTCCCTCTCTCTATCTATCTATCATATACCTAGTGCCTACTCTGTACCAGGCAGGATGTGTAAAAGCAGGTGCTTTTTTTTTTTTTTGCGGTACGCGGGCCTCTCACTGCTGTGGTCTCTCCCGTTGCGGAGCACAGGCTCCGGACGCGCAGGCTCAGCGGCCATGGCTCACGGGCCCAGCCACTCCGCGGCATGTGGGATCTTCCCGGACCAGGGCACGAACCCGTGTCCCCTGAATCGGCAGGGCGACTCTCAACCACTGCGCCACCAGGGAAGCCCTTTTTTTTTCTTTTTTAACATCTTTATTGGAGTATAATTGCTTTACAGTGGTGTGTTAGTTTCTGCTTTATAACAAAGTGAATCAGTTATACATATACGTATGTTCCCATATCTCTTCCCTCTTGCGTCTCCCTCCCTATCCCACCCCTCTAGGTGGTCACAAAGCACCAAGCTGATCTCCCTGTGCTATGCGGCTGCTTCCCACTACCTATCTATTTTACGTTTGGTAGTGTATATATGTCCATGCCACTCTCTCACTTTGTCACAGCTTACCCTTCCCCCTCCCCGTGTCCTCAAGTCCATGCTCTAGTAGGTCTGTGTCTTTATTCCCGTCTTACCTCTAGGTTCTTCATGACCTTTTTTTTTTTTTTCTTAGATTCCATATATATGTGTTAGCATACGGTATTTGTTTTTCTCTTTCTGACTTACTTCACTCTGTATGACAGACTCTATGTCCATCCACCTCACTACAAATAACTCAATTTCATTTATTTTTATGGCTGAGTAATATTCCATTGTATATATGTGCCACATCTTCTTTATCCATTCATCTGTTAATGGACACTTAGGTTGCTTTCATGTCCTGGCCATTATAAATAGAGCTGCAATGAACATTTTGGTACATGACTCTTTTTGAACAACCCAATCCAAAAATGGGCAGAAGACCTAAATAGACATTTCTCCAAAGAAGGTATACAGATTGCCAACAAACACATGAAAGAATGCTCAACATCATTAATCATTAGAGAAATGCAAATCAAAACTACAATGAGATATCCTCACACCGGTCAGAATGGCCATCATCAAAAAATCTAGAAACAGTAAGTGTTGGACAGGGTGTGGAGAAAAGGGAACCCTCTTGCACTGTTGGTGGGAATGCAAATTGGTACAGCCACTATGGAGAACAGTACGGAGGTTCCTTAAAAAACTAAAAATAGAATTACCATATGACCCAGCAATCCATTACTGGGCATGTACCCTGAGAGCAGGTGCTTTTATAGCATGGCAGGGACACAGCAACAGAAAATGAAGAAGAGTCAGCCAGGATGGAGGATTGAGTGGAATGACAGAAGGCTGGTGCCAGAGAGGTCTGTGGAAGAGAAAAGAGATAATTCTTTCAAGGGGGAGCAGCTTCCAGGATAAGAGGAAGCTTGGAGAGTTAAATGGGTAACAAAGATCTTTCGGACATCTTTTTCTTCTATTGGTGCCACGCAGTTTATCCCTACCCCAAACACCAGACCTCTGAAATCCTTCATTAAGGGTTAAATTATTGTTTACTGCTTTCCTGGAAGTTAGAGTGATGTTCCATTTGAGTGCAGTAGCCCTATTACAATCAGTTTATACAACTGGCTAATTACTATTATTAAGATAATTTCATTCCCCACTGAAGAACTGGGGACATCCTGTGCAGATGACCCATCCTTCTGTCCCCAGCTATTCCATAGCTTTCCTGCCCATTCATTCCATCAGCAGTTTGGAGCACTTACTCTGGGTAAGGACTGTCCTAGACCCCAGAGGAACAGCAGGGACTAAACAGACTTGGTCCCCACCCTCATAAGCTCTGAAGAAATGAGACACTGTGCAGACTGTGACCTTGTGGTGGGTCAGGAACAGCATTTCCAAGGAGGTAACATCTGAGCTCAGACCCTGTAGGAGCTGGAGGAAAAGTGCTCCATGTGGAATGGACAGCAGGGCTAAGGTGCTAAGGCAGGAAGCTTGGCTTGTTTAGGGAATGGAGAGAAGGTCTGCAGGGCAGGCAGAAGGGGAGGGGTGATGAGCTCGGGGAGATGGGAGAGGCCGGGGGGTCAGGTCTCGGGGGCCTTATCCACCCTAAGGAGGAATGTAGATGTTAGCTGAAGACCTCAGGTTTGGGGAGCCCAAAGCCTGGGGAGGGAGGGCATCCTGGAGACTTCGCCTCTAACTGCAAGCTGCTCCCCAGCTGCCAATGAGGCCAGAAGCGAGAGAGCATGGGGAGAAGGTACAGCCACCATGGGCACTGAAGGACCATGAGGCATCTGGGTCCTCCTCCACAAGCTCCAGACAGTGAGAAAATCCAGCAGGTTTCAGGAGGAGGATGTTCTCATAGACACAAGCATTCCAAGAAACAGAGTTGAAGCCTAGACACGGCGACAAAGTCTGTACCTTCATCACCTGTACGTTCTCTCTTCCCCACGTGAAACTGCTGCCCTCCCCGGAGGAAGGAGGGATGGATCATTCCAAGGGGCACCCCAGGATGCAGGTGTCACATACCCTTCTGCTGAGATTTTGTGGGTAAGAGTCAACGCCTGGTGGGGGTGGGGCACGTGATGGGGCATGGGATTCCCTGCTACCTGCTACCATCCCGGCCTAGGACTGAGGTCAATCCCCATTGGCAACGCTTGAGGAAGGATAATAGAACTCCTGGGAACTTACCTGGAAATGCAAGGAACCAACTGAAATTTCATCCCATTTCTCTTCTTCAAAAGCCCTTGTTCCACTGGTAATAATATTGGCACGGAAACGTGAGATGAGATTGTTCACTGGGAATAATTCTTCCTTTCCATTCTCATCACTGTTTAAGACATAGCCAAAAGAGAAAAGGTGGGGAAGGGTGGACAACTGCACTATTGTAATAATTCAATATTTCTACCACTCGATGCCTGAGTTCATCAATTGTACTCTGGCCTGAGGCTTCGATGATCAGAACAAGCCTTTATCATGAGTGCAAGGCCAAGAGACTCACATCTGTTGGACAGACTTCCGTGATCTCCCTGGAATATGGTCCCATCTCCATGGAGAAGCCCACAAGAGGCAGTGCAATGGGTGAGCAGATCTTTGCTGAAGAGATGAAGAACTTTGGAAACCAAGTGAACTGGGATCGAGTGGATAAACTTATGAGAAAATACCAATTCTACAGTCAGGACAAGGCATTTAAAGACTGTCAACAGGCTTAATTATCAAGGACCTAAAAAGTATCAAAAGCTCACACTCTTTTTGGATATTAGAACATCATAAAGCAACATAGAGTATACATGGGAGGTTTTAATATTTATTTCCTATAGAGAACCGATTGGTGGTTGCCAGGGGTGGGGAGAAGGGTGGGCAAAATGGGTGAAAGGGGTCAAAAGGTACAAACTTCCAGTTATAAAATAAACAAGTCATGGGGATGTAATGTATAGCATGGCAACTATAGTTAATAATACTGTATTGTCTAAAAAAAGACTGTATTGCATATTTAAAAGGCGCTAAGAGAATAAATCTTAAGTACTCATAAAAAGAAAAAAATTTTGCAGGACTTCCCTGGTGGTGCAGTGGTTAAGAATCCACCTGCCAGCGTGGGGGAATCCCTGGTCCGGGAAGATCCCACATGCCCTGAAGCAACTAAGCCCATGCACCACAACTACTGAGTCTGCACTCTAGAGCCCGCAAGTCACAACTACTGAGCCCACGTGCCACAACTACTGAAGCACGCGTGACTAGAGCCCGTGCTCCACAACAAAGACAAGCCACTGCAATGAGAAGCCTGAGCACCATAACAGAGTAGCCCCCGCTCTCTACAACTAGAGAAAGCCTACGCATAGCAATGAGGACTCAACACAGGCAAAACTAACTAAATAAATAAATTTATTTAAAAAAGAAAAAGAAATAAACAATCTTTAAAAAAAAATTTCCAGCTATGTGTGATGACAGATGTTTACTAGACTTACTGTGATCATTTCTCAGTATATACAAATATAGAATCATGTTGTACACCTGAAACTAATATAATGTTGCATGTCAATTGTATCTCGATTAAAAATTTTATTTCCTAGCTTCCATCCCATTTGCAATTTTAACTAAGCATATGCTATTTTTGTAATTCTTGTTTAAAATTTTTGTTTATTAGCACAAGTTACCATTAAACAGCTCCCTGCACCTCCATGCACGCCTTCCCCTAAGGTAAAAAAACACTGAAAAAGCATCTGCAAACTTCAACAGAGGAACACACTGTATGATCCCATTAAATTGAGTTTAAGAAAAGGTGAAACTGTCTAGGGTGAAAGAAGGCATAATAGTGGCAACCTTCAGTGGGGCTGGCCAAGAAGGGACATGAGGAAGGGGTCTATGGTTCTAGAAATGTTCTCTACTTGATCTGGATGGTGGTTACATGGGTATATACCTCTGTAAACATTCACTAAACTATGTACTTATGATTTTTGCACTTTGTTGTACTTTAATAAAAATTTTTGAAGTTTGGAGGGAGGGAAATCCTTGAGCATGACTGGAATTTGCCCTGGAGACAGAACTGAAAGACGCTGGGGGAGAGTAAGGGGTCCCATGTCTGTATCTCAAAGCCCCTGGCATGTGAAAAGCCAGGGACCAGGATACCCAAGTCCAGCTTTGCCAGTAACTATGTGCAACACCCACAATCGATGAGGACTGCAGGGCCCTTGTGGGAAATGAGAGGGTTAGCACTTTCCAGTCCTAAAATCCTTTGATTCTGGATTTACCCTCCAGGTTATAAACAAACAAACAAACAAAACTCCCTTTGTGCTTTTTAATAGGGAAAGTTTTATGTCCAAAAGCTACCATGGCCCGCAAGGAGACAATATCATCCAGCAAATTTGAAAACAGAACCAGGGACGCTGTGTACTAACCACAGCCTCTTTCTCCTACCTTTGACCACCTGGCCTTCCTACCTCCTGCTTGTCAGCTCTGCACTAAACCAGGACTGCAGGAACCAGGGCTGCAGCAAGCCTGTCCCCACCTCCTCTCTTTCCACACCAAGAATCCCAGAAAACTGCAGACCTGCTCCATCCAGGGCCCAGGGTACCTGAGGAAGGGGGTCACTCAGTACCGGGAAAACTCAGTGAACGCCCAGGGACCAGGCATCACACTTCAGCTCCTAAAGAGGGCAGCCTGGACCTCGGCAAGGGAACACTGTTGTGTGTTTTTGCCAATGACTATAAACAGGAATTACTACAAACAGTCCATTTTTGTGGCTTTTATTAAACTATATGTGTACATGTTTGTGCATGTGCACACATGTGCCCAGGACCACAGGGCACGTGAGCGTCACAGGAGCCCCAGCTCATGGTGTTGACAGGTGTGGACCATGAATGATCTGCCGGTCCCAACTCTTATGTAAGAGCTGGGTGATTTTTCTTTTTTGCCCCGATTGTCTGATTACCTTGGGACTTCAATTTCCTCTGAAGGACAATGAGGGGGCTTGAACCAACCAAGACCCTTTCTAGAGCTGACTTTTCCAGGACCCTTGGGAGATCCCTGGGTGGGAGTGAGCAGGCAAGGGTGCTAGTTCTGTCTGATGATACAAACAAATAGTATCTACAATTACAACTTTAAAAGCTTTCATAACCACTCTTCTTTTCACTCAAAATGACTGTGGAAGTAATGCAAGGCTCCTAGGGGCCAGGGGACAGTGGGAGAGTGGGCAACAAAAGTGGGTCCAGGGGGCTTCCCTGGTGGCGCAGTGGTTGAGAGTCCGCCTGCTGATGCAGGGGACACGGGTTCGTGCCCCGGTCCGGGAGGATCCCGCGTGTCGCGGAGCGGCTGGGCCTGTGAGCCATGGCCGCTGGGCCTGCGCATCCGGAGCCTGTGCTCCGCAACGGGAGAGGCCACGACAGTGAGAGGCCCGCGTACAGGAAAAAAAAAAAAAAAAAAAAAGTGGGTCCAATTGCTGGCGATTACATTCAACTAAATGTTTAAGAATTGAAATGATTAAACATGAGGGTTGGGATTCTCCGCCAAGCATCCTGAGGGCCTCAAGAAGGACATTGGAAGATAAAAGAGAACCCTCTAAAAGATTAAGGGAAACTGGCCTAAAAAGTTTTGTGACTTCTCTGGGCCTCAGTTTCTCAATGAAGGGTCTGGACTCATGATTCGCAGACCTTTTCTCCCTAGGGAGGTGACCAGCTCACTCCCAGGCGCAAGTAGTTACACCTGTCTGCTATTCCCAAGGTAAATAGCAAATAGTACAGGGATCTTACCTGGTGCTTAATTGCTGCTGAAGTTCCAAAACACTGGATCTGTTTATCAGCAGATACTGTGCCTCATTCACCAGAGAGAGGGTGGCTGTTGTACAAGCAGATTGATCTAAAAGTGATGGAGTATTTAAAGGAAGAGTTGTTGGAGAGGGAAACAACCTAAGTGTCCACTGATGGATAAATGGTTAAGGAAATGTGGTACACATACACAGTGGAATATTATTCAGCCATAAAAAAATGAAATTTCGCCATTTAACGACAACATGGATGGACCTTGAGGGTATTATGCTAAGTGAAAAGTCAGACAGAGAAAGACATATACTGTATAATCTCACTTAGATACGGAATCTAAAACAAAACAAAACAAGCTCATAGATCCAGAGAACAGATTGGTGGTTGCCAGAGGTGGGGGGGGGGGGGGGCGGGGTTTGGCAAAATGGGTGAAGGTTAAAAGGTACGAACTTCCACTTATAAAATAAATAAGTCCTGGGGATGTAATGTCTAGTGTGGTGACTTCAGTTAATAATACTGTATTGCATATTTGAAAGTTCTCATCATAAGAAAAAAATTTGTAACTGTGTGATGATGGATATTAACTGGATTTATCGTGATGATCATTTTGCAATATATACAAATGTCAAATTATTATGTTGTATGCCTGAAACTAATATAATGTTGTATGTCAATTATACCTAAATTTAAAAATTAAGATAAAATAGAAAAGAAGAGTTGCTTTCTTGGAATGCAAATGAATCATGCTTCCATTGACTTGCATTTTTTAAATTTAATTTTTATCTTATAATAGAGTGTAGTTGATTTACAATGTTGTATTAGTTTCAGGTGTAAGCAAAGTGATTCAGCTATACGTATACATATATTCATTCTTTTTCAGATTCTTTTCCCATATAGGTTATTACAGAATATTGAGTAGAATTCCTGGCCTGATTAGTACTTGAATGGAAGACTTGCATTTTTAAATATTAGGGACTGTTTCTAAAGGGAAGAAAATGGTGCCCTGGAAATAAAAAATGTTCTAAGCATGGCTCAAACTTCTCAAAAACAGAAAGAACATAAGCTCCTAGAATATGCTGTTGATAATCTGGAAAAAAATAATAAAATGCTGAAGTTAAATTCTTCCAGCAAAGGAAACTTGGAGGCAACACTTAGAGGAGGAGAGATGGGGCTGCAGGGCAGAGGTGGGGAAGTGGCGGGGGTAGGGGGGGCCCTTCCCCAAGCAAGAAGAAGGGCCTTGATGAGGGTCACAGGCCCAGTGAGATCTTCTGAATCTGGTCAGTGAATCTAGGCAGGGAGAAGCTGGGTTCTGCCCTTGGGCAAGTGTGTAATATTGACTTTAGAAACAAATAATACAAGTTTTAAAACTACTGAAAAGAAAAAAAAAAAGAGTGGAAGAAAATATCAAGGGCCTCCAGAACTACTGCAGCCCATCACCCAGCTTCCAGCTCCCACTTTTTGGGCCATAGCTGTCTTTATACAAGATGTTGATGATAAAGGCTGGCCGGGCCAAAACCTAGTGAGCTGTCTCTGAACTAGGCCTGTGGACCCCAGAGTACCCGAGAATGGACACTTCCAAGAGAATCGCTTACAGATTCTCTATTTCCATGTCTTCTTTGCTAAAATGGCTCTGCCGGAGCAGTGAGGTGCAATCCCAGGCCCCTCCACAAAAGGCCCTTCTCACCCTTCACAGGGCAAAGGCCGCACCTCTCCTATGGCGCATTGGCCCTGGGGGCTAAAAATCTCCAGGGTGGAAAACAAAAGACCAGTTCAAAACCCTGGGGTCTGTGCTGAGAAAATAAAAGTCTCTCAAGCTTGGGTGACTGATCCTCCTGTAGGTCAGATGGGTTCCATTTCTTTGCTAACCACAAAACTGCCGGAACTAATTAAGTTGTCAAGTGACAGATGATTAAAGTCATCTTGATGTTAGATCCCTGTGCCTCAGAAGAAAGGTTTGAGTGACAGCGCGTTAACCAAACACCTTCATCCCCAGCTGTTTACTGACTTAAATAAGATTCTTCAGAAGAGAACCAGTGCTGAACACCAGCTATTCTGATGATTGGTGACAGTCATCCATGGACATGGGAATTAATCACAGGTGGCCAGCCATCTCATTAAGAGATTCATTTTCCACTATTTTTTTCTCTTTATGTTTAATAACTATTTTTTGAAATTTATAATATACTTTTGTTGCTTTGATCAACTGTGTACTATTAAACACTATGATAAGAACTCAACCTAGGAAAAATTTCCTAACACTGAGACTCTACAATCACAGGAAACTTTAAGAAATTTTATACATTTCAATTTATATATAATTTTAGTTTCAGATAAATATGATAGGGTGATCAAGGAAAGAGTTTCAAGCATAAAATATATAACACTAAGATAAAATTCCTTCAAGAAAGTGGAATGGAAATACAAGTTGAAGAAAGAAAATGAAAGAAAGAAAATTTCTGTACCTTAAAAAACAGTTTGTTTATACACATATTTTTAAGTTAATACTCATAAGACTCAAATCACTATGGTATTGAGACTCCACTGGTTTATATTTAAAAGGGCAATGTACAAGTTTTAATTTTAAATGACTACAGGCGTACATTGTTTTATTGCATGTCACTTTATCATGCCTCGCAAGTACTTCACAGGTATTAAGTTTTTTACAAATTGAATGTTTGTGGCAACACTGCATCGAGCAAGTCCATTGCACCATTGTTCCAACTGCATTTGCTCACTTCATATCTCTGTGTTGCATTTTGGTAGTTCTCACAATATTTCAAACTTTTTCATTATTACATTTGTTACAGTGATCTGTGATCAGCGATCTTTGATGTTACTATGACTTGCTGAAGGCTCAGATAATGGTTAGAGTTTTTTAGCAAGAAAGTATTTCTAATTAAGTTATGCACACTGATTTTTAGACATAATGCTACTACATACTTAATAGATTACAATAGAGTGTAAACATAACTTATATATGCACTGGGAAACCAAAAAATTTTTGTGACTTGCTTTATTGTAGTGGTCTGGAACCGAACTCTCAGTATCTCCAAAGTAAGCCTGTATATTTGCAATATGCTGGAAATCACATCCTTTGCAACTTTTTTTTTTTTTTTAATTTAGATGACAACGTAAAGAGGTAGTGTAGGTTTAAAAAATTTCTTCTAAGGTGTACCAACACAAAAATGTTCAAAGGCCTAGACCTAGACCATCAGAGACCTCTCCACCATAAATGGCATCCTTGAAGTATAATATTCACAAGCTGACACTTCTGATCCTGTATCGAGCAGCCAACAGATTCATTCTGCTCCCACCTTTGCCTACCCAGGCCCCATCTCCCACTAGGACAGTCACTGCCGCCTCCTGCCTGGCCTCTTTGCTTCCTTCATTTCCCTCTCCCTTGCAGCCTCCACACCTCACCAGGGGTGTCGTTCTAACGCAAGCTGCATCATGAAACTCCCCAGGGTAGAATTCTTCAGTTCTTCAACCTGAAGACAGTGCTTACTTACTCCTCAGCAGCACATTCATCTCTTCTCTCTAGCTCTGCCCCATCACTCCCCTACCCATGTCTGACCCTCCTAAACCCTTCTCCGAACCCATGAAATGCCAAGCTCTGCCATGCTGCTCCTCAGTAATCTTCTTGCCTTTCTCTGCCTGGAACACTTCTACTCTCCTGTTAAGACGCAGCTCCAAACTCACCTCTTCCCTGAAGCCCTCCATGACTCACTCCAGGTGTAGATTTACAAGCCAGTCTCCCAGGGAGCTAGTGACTAAGCCAGGTCATTCCTGCACAAACCAGTAATGTGGCAACTCTCCAGTCCATTCATTTATTCATCTGGTATTTACTGAGCAACTACTATGTGCCAGGTCTGTTCTAAGCCCTGAACAAAGCAGAGAAAAATCCCTCCCTCACAGAGCTTATGATCTAACAGACGGAAGACAGAACATAAACAGGATAACTGAGTCAGATGCATGGCCTATAGGATGTGAAAAGTGCCACAGAGAAAAATAAAACAGGGAATGAGCTGGAGGTTCAGGTAGGGGCCCTGGTTCTAAGGAGGGCAGCCAGGCAAGGCTCCCCCGAGAAGGTGACATTTGAGCAGACACCTGAAAACTCTCTCTTCCTATATGGTACTGTTAGCTCAAAGTACTTTCTTCTCTGCTGTCTCATTTTATGCTCACAACAGCTTATGGCGGGAAAAACTGTCAAAACCCTTAAATCTAAGTAGATGACATGCCGTCACAATGTTCTGCCGTCGAGTTCTACAGAATTTCAACACCAATGGGTTCAAGGATTTGCCAAGGTCTCAACAACTACTTGGTGTCAGGACCAAGACTAGAAGTCCAGATTTTCTTAGTATACAGCAAGCTACCAATGTTTTTCTTTAACAAAACTTAATTGTGCTTCTAAACATGCAGGACTGAGGCAGAGAGCTTGAGCAGAGGCTGCAAGCCCTCCTCGGCCTCCTCGGGCTCATCCTGGAGACCACACATGGGTCCTTCTGACCTGGGGGACACCACAGCACCTTTCTGCCAGAGGCTGACCCCCCCTACTTTCTGTTCAGGAGCACGTTGCCCTGTCAATCCATTTTGTGGGCTGATTTTCGTGTCTGCAAGGGTTAAACCCAAGTGCCTGTCCCCTAAGAAGCAATCCGAAATGTGATACCTTTGCCTCGTTTCTTCCTTGCATTTCTTTGAAAGTCTGAACTTTGTCTGATCAAATGATATGGACGGCCAAAAAACGTTGACAACCAGCTTGAAATTTTTTCTCCACAGTCATAAGTATTTACCCTGGCAGAAAAAAAAAAAAAAAAAAAGGAAAGATGTTATGTAGTATTCCTTTAAATAACTGAAATAGCAAAAAGTTACGTAATATAATATTATATAATTAATATAATATAATATAAAAACATGAAGCCCCCAACAAGACAGAAATCTACAGTGACAAGTGTGCTTAGGAAGTCGCAATGAGATTCCCAAGGCACGGGAAGGCCTGGGATCTGGAGCTTATGCAAAGCTTTCAGATCAAATTAAAAGCTTTAGAAACTTCTCTTGAAAGACTTTGTTTATATTACTTACAGCCACTGAGAACCACAAAGCTTGGAATTTAAGAGCTTCCAGAGCATTATTTTGCTTTAAGAAGCTCTGGAACCCAGACCCGTGTCCTGGTTTTTTTACTAGAGGCCTGACTGGAATATCTTCTGTCACGGCCATGCTGTAGGGACTGATGTGTTTGGTTTCTGAAAAGAACACTATGGCCATAAGTCACTGATATAAGTACATTTTTTGATCTGGTTTTTTAAAACTCTTCAAACTTCTAGAATTTTTAAATAGAATTTTAAATTTTTTAAAAATTATAATCTACACATCTCCAGAACTAATCATGCGAAATTGCTAATAACTTACATTGGGATTACAAGATAGATATTATTGAAAACTTATCCTTAATTTTTACTGGGAAAAATAGCTGCCTTTAGGATCTAGAAAGGAAAGGGAAGAATGAAACCTTGCTTTGTAGACATTCTCTCTGGTGCTTTGAGAGACGCACCTAAGTCCATTTTTCATCATATTGAGCACTTGTGGTTCTGAGTATAAGAAGCCTGACCTCTAGCTATCGAAAAGCTTTATTAACCAGAAAATGCCATTCCTCTCAGATGCAGCTAAATGAAATCTACAACCAGGGAAGAGCCTGATAAATAATTGCAGGTACCCCTAGATAGCTATATTTCTCTCTATGAGAAGATTTGCTATAGTGACATGCAGAAATGTTTACCCCAAATTCATTGCCCTATTTGAAAATGTGCTATGATGAGTGTTTAAATCTGCACAAGAACTAACAAGAGGATGCAGAGTGTGCTCACCCCTTGGGCTCCAGGATGGGCCAGGGCCCATGATGCTCAATTGTATAGAGCACAATCTTCACGCTATCACCTTCCCACCTTTCCTGAGCATGTAGCCCTTCATCATCCCAGCGTGACCTGGGGCACTAACAACTTGAGTCCAATTTGGATGTAGCTTGAGTATTTGACATATCATCTCATGACTTACTTGTTTGCAGTGCAGAAGGAAATGTACTCTGACTCAGTACTATGCATATCACCAACTACTGAGCACAAACATACCCACCAACTACTTTATTGTGTTAACTAATAGGCAATTAGCATTTTAAAAGACTTCTACTATATATAAATCCCTACTGAACTGTTAAGGGTTAACCATTTTAGTATTTGGGGGGTAAACTAGTTGGGGTATTAGATGCGCTGGGAACCCATCAGATAGGGGTCCACAATCAGAAAATTTGTATTCCACATGTTTTCAGGTTGAAATTAGATTTAGGTTAAAAGGGATGCAGAAATTTGATGTATTCAATAAATTGATTTGTAAATATTTACGATCAAGAAATAAAATGAAATCCTATAACACTCAACCTCATTTTCTATGTTTCCTAGAATTCAGCAGATGATTTACCATCAATAACTCAGATTAGGTAATAATCCACAACTATATGGAATATAATTGTTGAACTATCACTTGAAAGTTCTACAACCTGAGGGACATCTTGACACTCCCCTCAGCTTCCACATCCAATTCATCGGCGAGTTCAGGTTATTCTACCTCCAGAATATATTATATCTGATGCCCACCTGATTTTCTCTCTGACCCTGATCCAAGCCTCCATCTCATCTCACCTGTGTTACTAACACAGATGCTCAGCTGGCCTTCCCACTTGCACCTTACCGTCTTCCAACTTTTCTACACCCACCAGCCAATTTTTTCAAGCTGTGAATTGGGTCCCTTGACTCACCACTCCCCTGCGGCCACCCCTCTGAGCTCCACCATGCCTCCTCCAAACTGTCCCCTGCCTCACCTCACCTCCCTCCACACCACACTGTTCCAGGGTCTACAGGAAGCAACACAGACAGTCCTGCTCTCTCGGGGTTGGCATTCTAGCAGGAGGGACTGAAGGTATATGTTGGGGAAAAGATTAATGAGAAGGAGAAGAATTCAGCAGAGCAAGTGGAGAGGGAGGGGCTGGCTCCTAGGGGAGGTCAGATGGGCCCTCTGAGAAGGAGGTTTTTCAGCAGAGACCCGATGAGGTGAGGAAGTGAACCCTGCGGGGGTATAAACAGGGAAAGAGCATTCCAGGCAGAGGGAGCAGCAAGTGCAAAGTCCTAAGGAGGAAGCATGCTTAGTAGATGTGAAGAAGAGCTAGGAGCCAGTGTGGTTGGAGTGGAGTGTGCGAGGGGGAAGCGGCAGCAGACTGGACAGAGGATGCAGCCGAGGACCGATGGCACAGGGCATTGCTCTCTTCCCCACTCTGAGCCGCCCTGCAGCTAGACCTGCAAATGTCACCTGCTGCAGCCTCACCTGTCCGCACAGACCTTGCTTTGGCAAATCTGAGCCGGTTTGCTGTTCTCCTCAAGCGACACCGCTATAGGCTCCATCCCTATTGAATAAAGGTTAGAGACAAATTTATCATCATGGAAAAAAAACAAGTATGTCCAAAAAAAAGTCCATTGTCCTGAAATATACAAGAATTTTAATGACCCTGGAAATTGGTTGAATCAAGTAAGTGGCTGAGTCTTGGAAATCTCTTTACAACACAGAGATTCTCTTCCTCATTATCGGTACCACCAACAGCGTGTGCATCGAGCAGCTTTGTCATGGAAGGCTCTGCACTGGGGCCCTCACATCCACAGTCCCTGGAACACTACAAATTCCTCTGAATGCTTTCTCTACCTCTGCATGACTCCACATCCTGACATCATTGCTCACTAGGCTACCTTAGATCCTCTAGAAATAGGCAGGCAGACATGAAGGCTCACTCTGTAAGGATGTCAGTATAGTGTCAATTCTCAGTAGCCCCTAGGAATCAGCATCAAATTGGATTCCTGCATCAATCATCATTATCACCAAGAAAAAAAAAACCCAAAAAACTGTTATTATGTCAGTGGGGTTGGGAAGCCATTCTTTTCTAAAAAATTGTTACATACATCGTACATACAAAGGAGTGTTTAACATATATACATAGTGGTCTGAAGAATAATAAATGCTCATATACCCAGTACTCAGCTAAAGTGGTATTCATTCTTTCAATAGATTTAGAATAAAATATGTGGAAGAAACTAGAGGAAACTGATCCATGGCTACTGATGGGTGAAAGACCTTTGCTAAAGGCTGGAACGGCTGAGGGCCTCTGCCACTCTGCACTCCTTCTCATCCTTCGTGAGTCATTAAAAATATAGGGAACTGCATGAAGCCAAGACACCTGAGCGGAATTTGTGGCGGCTCCTACTCTGTGGACTCCTCCTGTGTGGCCCACCTGTGCCCTGCACCCTCTCAGCATTGCCGCCAGTCACACTGCTCACCGGCATGACCCAACCTGCCCCCAGCAAGCACACAGCAAGCACACCTGTATCCCTGCTCATGCTGGTCCTGCTTCATCACACACAGCACAGCAACGGGTACATCCATTCCTACTCACGAGCGTCAGATCATGACTGTTACCCAGACCCATGCCAAGCACGACAAGCCTTTCACCACAACAAAGACAGAGAAGTAACAATATGCGTAAGAGGTATTTCATCAGCTCTGTCCCCTGCTTGTCCATGTCTTACACAAGCATGACCAGTTCCACACTCCTGTCCCTGTGTGGGGAAGGCCAGAAGAGGCCTCATCCAGAAAGCTCCAGAAGTTTGGAGAGTGCTGTGCTGAGTGATTAGAGATGCTGCTGTGTCAAAAGGCTGTTCATGGGGCTTCCCTGGTGGCGCAGTGGTTGGGGGTCTGCCTGCCGATGCAGGGGACGCGGGTTCGTGCCCCGGTCCGGGAAGATCCCACATGCCGCGGAGCGGCTGGGCCCGTGAGCCGTGGCCGCTGGGCCTGTGCATCTGGAGACTGTGCTCCACGGCGGGAGAGGCCAAAGCAGTGAGAGGCCCACGTACCGCAAAAAAAAAAAAAAAAAAAAAAGGCTGTTCATGGAAGGATGGGATTGCACCAGGTGTGCACCCACAGGGGAGAACAGTAAAATGAGTCCTGGAACATTGGTTATGAGGAAGTAACCACAGCAGGGGGACAGCACGTGTACAAATGCACAGTGGAAATGCACCCCTGGGCTGCCAGCAGGAGGCCTGCACTCAGCCTCTTTCTACCCTTACCCAAGACTCTGCACAAAACATATATAATCATAAATATGGCCCTCAGCTGGCTTATAAAGGTCATCGCAGGCCTCTTGCTAAACAGGCAACCTAATCTGGGGTCCCCATATGGATTGAGCTCAAGGGCTGCCCCCAACAAAGTTCATGGGGATTGAGTTCATTCCGGATATACTAAGCCCTGTGCTTGTACAGCTCGGAGATACAGAGAAATAAAAGATTCCAACCTCTGGACTCAAGATACCTGAAATCTTTTGGAGTGACAAGTCATTTACATAAAACAATTATAATGCCTTGTTTTAATGTTTATTATTTAGGGCCAAAAGTTTGTCCTACCATACGTGTCCTGAAAAGGATGCCCTTCCTCCACCCACAGTGCTGGAAGTCCCTACAAGTGAGCAGAACATCTGATATACCACACCACCTCACAAAGTGCTGCTGATTTGGAGTGGAAGATATTCGGGTATTTGTTTTCACCCTCTCTTATTCCTTATATTCTGGGATAAATCCTATTTAGTCATGACATACATTTTTACGCTTCAGAGAATAGAAAGAAGAGTAACCCATTCAACTCTTTTTGTATGTTAATATCCTGGGTATACAAACGTAAACAAGAAAAGTATAATAGAAGGGGGTAACATCTCAATTCAAAGAAATGGAAAGATATCCCATGCTCTTGAATTGGAAGAATTAATATTGTTAAAATGGCCATACTACCCAAAGTAATCTAAATATGTAATACGATCCCTATCAAATTACCCATGACATTTTTCACAAAACTAAAACAAATAATCCTAAAATTTATATGGAACCACAAAAGACCCAGAATTGCCAAAGAAATCCTGAGGAAAAAGAACAAAGCTGGAGGGACTTCCCTTGTGATGCAGTGGTTAGGAATCCCGTTGCCAATGCAGGGGACATGGGTTTGATCCTTGGTCCGGGAAGATGCCACATGCCACAGAGCAACTGAGCCCATGTGCCACAGCTGCTGAACCTGCACTCTGGAGCCTGCGAGTCACAATTCCTGAGCCCACTTGTCACAACTACTGAAGCCCGCACACCTAGAGCCTGTGATCCACAATAAGAGAAGCCACAGCAATGAGAGGTCCACACACTGCAACAAAGAGTAGCCTCTGCTTGCTACGACTAGAGAAAAGCCCGTGCACAGCAACAAAGACTCAACACAGCCATAAATAAATAAATAAATTAATTAATTAATTAATTAATTTTTAAATAAAAGAACAAAGCTGGAGACATAACCCTCCCAGACTTCAGACAATACTACAAAGCTACAGTAATCAAAACAGCACGGCATTGACATAAAAACAGACATATGGATCAATGGAACAGAATAAACAGCCCAGAAATAAACCTACACACTTACGGTCAATTAAACTTCAACAAAGGAGGCAAGAATATACAATGGAGAAGAACAGTCTCTTCAGCAAGTGGTGTTGGGAAAGCTGGACAGCCACATATAAATCAATGATGTTAGAACACACCCTCACACCATACACAAAAATAAACTCAAAATGGCTTAAAGACTTAAGCATAAGACATGACACCATAAAACTCCTAGAAGAGAACATAGGCAAAACATTCTCTGACATAAATCATACCAATGTTTTCATAAGTCAGTCTCCCAAGGCAATAGAAATAAAAGCAAAAATAAACAAATGGGACCTCATCAAACTTACAAGCTTTTGCACAGCAAAGGAAACCATAAACAAAATGAAACAACTACCTACAGACTGGGAGAAAATATTTGCAAATGATGTGACCAACAGGGCTTAATTTCCAAAATATACAAACAGCTCATATAGCTCAATAACAAAAAAGCAAACGACTCAGTCAAAAAATGGGCAGAAGACCTAAATAGACATTTCTCTAGAGAAGACACACAGATCAACAATAGGTGCATGAAAAGATGCTCAACGGCAATTAATTATTAGAGAATTGCAACTCAAAACTACAAAGAGGTACCACCTCACACCAGTCAGAATGGCTATCACTAAAAATATATATAAATAACAAATGCTGGAGAGGGTGTGGAGGAAAGGGAAACCTCCTCCACTGTTGATGGGAATATAAACTGGTGCAGCCACTATGGAGGTTCCTTAAAAAACTAAAAATAGAATTACCATATGATCCAGCAATCCCACTCTTAGGAATATATCCAGAAAAAACAATAATTCAAAAAGATACATGCACTCCAACATTCACTGCAGCACTATTTACAATAGCCAAGACATGGAAGCAATCTAAATGTTCATCAAGAGATGAGTGGATAAAGAAGATGTGGTATATATATGCAATGGAATATTACTCAGCCCTAAAAAAGAATGATATAATGCTATTTGTAGCAACATGGATGGACCTAGAGATTATCATACTAAGTGAAGTAAGTCAGACAGAGAAAGACAAATACCATACAATATCACTTATGTGTGGAATCTAAATAATGATACAAATGAACTTATTTACAAAAGAGAAACAGACTCACAGACATAGAAAACAAAGTTATGGTTAAAGGGGGGGATAAATTAGGAGTTTGAGATTAGCAGATACAAACAATTATATATAAAATACATAAACAACAAGGTCCTACTGCATAGCATAGGAAACTATATTCAGTATCTTGTAATAAACTATAATGGAAAAGAATCTGAAAATGTATATACATATATATACTATACATATATACTATATATATATTTATAACTGAATCATTTTGCTTATACCAGAAACTAACAACATTGTAAATCAACTATACTTCAATAAAAAAAATTTTTTTAAAGAAGATAACTTCTCAATCTCACTAATAAGAATAGGTACAAAAATACCAATAAAATATTAGCAAACTAAATCCATCAATGTATCAAAAAATCATTGCCAAATAGTTTTTTTCTTTTCTCCAAGGTTGCAAGGATAGTTCAGTACTAGACAATCGACTAATGTTAAGATATCACACTAATAGACTATAGGGAAAAAATATAACCAACAGATGCAGAAAGAGCATTTAGTGAGAACTATTAGTCATGATAAAACTTTTGGCTAAATTTAAAAAAACTACTTTAGCCTGGTAAAACGAATCTATTAAAAATGTACAGTAAATACAACTCTTATTTTTGAAATTTTAGAAGAATTTTATTCAAGTCAGTAATAAAAAAGGATATTTCCCATCACTGCTCCATGCAATAAGAAAAGAAGAAAAAAGAGGGAGTGAATAAAAATTGAAAAGGAAGATATGAAACCGTCATTATTAGAAGATGATATGCCTATCATCTGAAAATCTTCAGACCAACTAATAAAACTAACAGGAATTCAGAAAAAGTACTGGGTAAAACACTGATATACAAAAGTCAACAGTGTTTCTATACTACAACAGTGTTTCTATACTACAAAAATAACCAGTTAAAATATTTAATAGAAAAAAAAGATAGTGCTCAAAATACTCAAATAAACAATTATATAACGAAAAGTGTGCAAAAATTTTCTGGAAAATAGTATTAAAATTATTTTAATAAATTACTATTAAAATTTTGGAGTAAAGAAATCTTCATGGAGAGAGATACTATTTATATATAGAGGACTCAATATTATATGATATAAATTCTCCTGAAATTAATTTATAATATTACAATCAAAATATGATTACAAAATATGTAATTTTGCAATCAAAATCCCAATGAAAATAATAGAGAATGTCAGAATGGACAAAAAGCATGAGCCAACTGTATGCTGGATACAAGAAACTCACTTTAAATATGATATAGGCAGATTAAATGTAAAATGGAGTCATAAAGAAAATGAAAAGGAAGTCTACACAATGGGAGAAAATATTTGCAAATCTGATCTAAAAAGTGACTTATATTCAAATATATAAAGAATTCTTACAACTCAATAAATTAAAAATAAGTAAGCAAAGAATTTAAATAGATATTTTTCTGAAGAAGATACACACATGGACAATAAACACATAAAAAGATGGTCAATATCATTAGTCATTAGGGAAATGCAAATCAAAACCATGTGAGGTACTGCTACACACCCATTAGGATGGCTATTAAAAAAAACAACAACAGGGCTTCCCTGGTGGCGCAGTGCTTGAGAGTCCGCCTGCCGATGCAGAGGACATGGGTTCCTGCCCGGTCTGGGAAGATCCCATGTGCCGCGGAGCAGTTGGGCCTGTGGGCCATGGCTGCTGAGCCTGTGCGTCCAGAGCCTGTGCTCCGCAGTGGGAGAGTCCCCAACGGTGAGAGGCCCATGTAACGCAAAAAAAAAAAAAAAAAAAACAGAAAATAACAAGTGTTGGGGAAGATGTGGAGAAACTGGAAACTTCATATGTTGCTGGTGGGAATGTAAAATGGTGATGGAGTCACTTTGGAAATGCTAAACACAGAGTTACCATATGACCCAGCAATTCCATTCCTAGGTATATATCCAACAGAATTGAAAACATGTCCACACAAAAATTTATACATAAATGTTCACAGCAGCGTTATTCATAATAACCACAAATGGAAACAATCCAAATATCCATCAACTGATGAATGGATAAAAAAAATATGGTATATCTATACAATGGAATATTATTCAACAATATGGATGACCCTTAAAAACATTATACTAAGTGAAAGAAGCCAGTCATATATTGTTGCCATTTATATGAAACAGCCAGAATAGGCAACTCCATAGAAACAGATAGTAGATTAGTGGTTGCCAGAAGCCGGGGATAAGGTTGGGAATGGGGAGTGACTGCTAATGTGTATGGGGTTTCTCTTTGAGGGTGATGCAAATGTTCTAAAATTGATGGTGGTGATGGTTGTACAACCTTGTGAATATACCAAACATATCATTGAATGGTACACTTTAAATGAATACATTTTATGGGATGTTACATAAATATCAATAAAGCTAGAAGAAATAAATATAAAGGTGGAAAATGATACACCATACAAACACTAACCACAAGAGAGCTGAATGGCTATATTCATATCAGACAAAGAATTTCACACTTCACATTTTGAAACAAAGAAAATGACCATGCATAAAGAGGAGCATTACTTAGGGAACAATTCACCAAGGAGACATAATAATACTAAGTGAAGCAAAAACTAAGAGAACTAAGGGGAAAATAGACAAACCCACAATTACAGTTGGGGACTTCAACACTCTTCTTTCAGTAAGCAGCAGAACTGGTAGCGAGTACATAAAAATTCAGCAAGTACAGAGAAAAACAGCAATACCATCAACCAACTGGTATAGAACTGACATCTATAGAACACTCCACCCAACAACAGGATACACATTCTTTTCAAGTGTATATGGAACACTCACGGCAATAAATCATATCCTTGGTCATAAACCAAACCTTAACAAATTTTAATTTAAAATCTATAAAGTATGTTCTCTCTTTTGGAGAGTTTAATGGAATTAAACTGAAAATCAATAGCAGAATGAAAACAGAAACATCTCCAAATATATAGAAATTAACACACTTCTGTAATCCATGGGTCAAAATGAATATAAAGAGAACAAGTAAGGACATAAAAAGATGCTTAACATCATTAGCCAGTAAGGAAATGAAAACTAAAATCATGACGAGATTGGAGTTCCCTGGTGGCCTGGTAGTTAGGATTCCAGGCTTTGACTGTTGTGGCCTGGGTTCAATCCCTGGTCAAGGAACTGAGATCCCGCAAGACACATGGTATGGCCAAAAAAAAAAAAAAAAAAAAAACAAACATGATGAGATGCCATTACACACCTATTAAAATAAATAAAACAAAAAATACCGACAATACCAAAAGCTGACAGAATGTGGAACAACTGGAACTCTCATACATTGCTGGCGGGAATGAAAAACGATTCGGTCATTCTAGAAAATGGTTTGGCAGCTTCTTTCAAAGGTAAACATATCCTTACCATATGACTCAGCAATCAACGCCTAGTATTTATTCTAGAGAAATGAAAACTTGTGATCAACCAAAAACCTGCACATGAATGTTTAGAGCAGCTCTATTCATAACTGCTCAAAACTGGAAACAAGCCAAATGTCCTTTAACAGATGAATGGATGAACACACCCTAGTATATCCATACAATGGAATACTACGCAACAATAAAAAAAGAATAAACTACCGATTCATGCAGTAACTTAGATGGGACTTAAAGGCGTCATGACGAGTGAAAGAAGCCAATGTCAGAAGGTCACATATTGTATATTCTATTTATATAACATTCGCAAAAAAATAAAACTATAGTGATAGAGAACAGATCTCTGATTGCCAGGTGTTAAGGGTGGGGAGAAGAGAGACTATAAAGGGTTAGCATGAGGGAGTTTTCTGGGGTGATGGAACTGTTTTGTACCTTGATGATGGGAGTGACTACACAAATCCGTGCATGTGTTAAAATTCATAGAGGGAACAAAAGGCCAAGAATAGCCAAGACAATCTGGAAGCATGAGGTAGGAGGACATGCCCTACCAGATATCAAAATTCATTCTATAGTTATTAACATTGGCTTATTGGTTCAAGAAAAAATAAACCACTGGAACAGAATAGAACACCTACAGCCAAGAAACATAATCATTGAATATATGGAAATGGGATATATCACAAAAGTACAGCTATAAGTTAGGAGGGAAATTGGAATATTCTATAAATGGTAGGTGGGGTGTGGAAGGAGAAAGAATGAGACCAAGGAGAAGTACATAGGGAATTTCAGCTATATCTGTAATGTTTTTAAGTATTAAAAGAAGGAGGAGGAAGAAGAGGTAGCAGAGAAGGGAGGAAGGAGGAGGGTAGTAGGAGGTAAGAGAAGTGGGAAGGAGCAGGGAGAGGAGGAGGAGAAATTGAGGCAAATGTGGTCAAATGTGAAGGTTTGTTAAAACTGGATGCTGTAAGTACGTATTATAGTATTCTCTATACTTGTGCTGTCCAACACTGTAGCCACTAGCCACATTTGGTAATTTAAATTAATTAGAATCACATAAAATTAAAATGTAGTTCCAGTGTCCTGCTAGTCACATTTCATGCACTCAGTAGCCACATCTAATTGGTGGCTACCAAACTGGACAATGTAGATGTTGAACATTTCCATCATCACATAAGGGTCCACTGGACAGAGATGGCCTATGAATTTATATGTGTTAGTTCATAATAAAAATCCACAAGGGGGAGTTCCCTGGCAGTCCAGTGGTTAGGACTCCACGCTTTCACCGCTGAGGACCCAGGTTCGATCCTGGTCTGGGAACTAAGACCCCGCAAGCCGTGCCGCCAAAAAAAAAAAAAAATCCACAAGGAAGAATCAAAGCTTGCAGAACATATGATGAGTGAAGGAATTAAAAGGAATGTAAGTTAAAGGACAACATATAATTTCAATATCTATATCTCTTTACTTTCTGATTGGACCGTCAGATTTTCACCTCTTCCCAAAAATCTGCCCCCAAAGAAATTCCAAAAATGCAAAAGGAACAAACTTTCCGTTGTCTCTTCTAGACATCATTTCGCTTCCTTTTGGATTATTTTAATATTTGGTAAAGGAAGAGCCATGACTTTACTTTCCTATGAGAAAAAAAGCTACTCTTGACAGCTGCTTTGTAAAACTGAACCCAGTTTTCAGACCTTGGGCTTTGATGACCATGATCCTTCGCTGCAGGTCAATGAAGGGCTGGATCAGGCAGAGCCGGGGTTCCTGCTTCTGACTCAGGCAAACACCGTTGTGATTCACAACCATCCAGCTCCGGTCGTACAGCAACCCTTGATTTCCTAGAGGCCACCTGGTCACCTAAACAAAAAGGTCAATGTATTTTAAGCCAGGGCTCCTCAAAAATCATCTTCGCATTTATGGCACAGCGGCTGTACTGAAGCAGAGGACTTCAGAAATTCAGCACAGACTCCTGAAGGAAAAAAGGGATGAAGAGAAGGAAGTAAAACAAAGAAGACAGTGCAAAGGAGACTTTGGGGTTGAGATACCTTCCATTCACCCTCCAGATCCAGTTTGCACCCTTCTCCACTTCAACCTGCTTTTTAAGTAGGTAATGCATGTGCACAGTACAACATTCTGGGAGCACAAGAGTGTACTTGAAAAGTAGGTCTCCGCCCCAGCCTATGTCCCACTCCCCTCCCCAGCCTGTGTCCCACTCCCCTCCCCACAGGCCTCCACCTGCTTTCTGTGTGTCCTTCCACAGTGGTGGATGCCTGAACAGGCATATATCCTTGTACTACAGACTTATTGCACAAATTGTGGCTACACTGGAATGGTCCCTGAGTTGATCCACTTTAAGTGTGTAAGTTTTCCTCAATTCTTCATATTTCTACAAAATTAAAATACAAATTATGCCCAGTGCCCAGATCTTGCATTTAATACCATTCTCCAATAGAAAGAACCAGGACTCTTTGGAGAAATGGTTTATTCCAGGGCTGGGTCATGGAATATACAAGATGAGCCAGGAGCACCCTGTAGTGCTAGAAAAGTAAGGAAGTGCTCAAAAAACAAACTGATGGAGGTATGTCAAAGGGATGCAGGAGTCAACTGAAAGCATGCCCAATGGCCAAAACTGGAAAATACTGAATAGTAATAATAATAATAATGTAGTACTGAATTATAATCCAAAGTATAAAATAAATACCCATGAGTCCAAATAAATAAATAGAAAAAGTCAAATCCCTCATACAGAAGAATCCTAAATAATTGATGTAATTGTTCCCTCCTCAAGAAGGGGGAGCGTAACTCCCTATAACTCCCTACCCCTTAAGTGTGGGCTACACTTAGTGACTTGCTTCCAAAGAGAACAGTATGGGAACAGAGTGGAGGGGAAATTTTACAGTGAAGAAACCTGGCAAATACCAGGTGCCCCAGGTTCATGTCAATAGTGGTAAGTCATGCTGACAGTACCCTAATATGACATGATGAGAATAGCCCTTTACTTCTGTGGTCCTACTTCCAAAACAAACCATAACCCCAGTCTAATATTCAGAAAGACATCAGACAAACCCAAACTGATGGATATTCTTTTTTTTTTTTTTATTCGCTACACGGGCCTCTCACTGCTGTGGCCTCTCCCGTTGCGGAGCACAGGCTCCGGATGCGCAGGCCCAGCAGCCACGGCTCACGGGCCCAGCCGCTCCGCGGCATGTGGGATCTCCCCGGACCGGGGCATGAACCCACATCCCCCGCATCGGCAGGCAGACTCTCAACCACTGCGCCACCAGGGAAGCCCTACTGATGGATATTCTAAAATATACCTGACGGATACTCCTCAAAACTATCAAGGTTATAAAAACAAGGAAAGTCTGAGAGACTGGTACAGCCCAGAGGAGCCTAGGGAGACACAAGGACTAAATGTCATAAGGTGTCCTGGATGGGATCTGGAACAGAAAAAGAACATTAGGTGAAACCTAATGAAATTTCAAAAACATGGGACGAGGTCTTCGCAGGAGTTTTGTCCACAAGTTACACAAGTTGCTTACAGCGCGGCAGGTGCAGTAGTTCCACCCGTGAGGGCTCTTCTGGAGCCAGCTGTCTGTTAAAGAAGGGTGTAGGTGAAGCAATGCTTTTGAAATAGTATTACGATTAAGAGACCAACATTCGCACACTAATTGTGAATGAATTTCATCCTGTCATTTTCCTCTGAGCACTCAAATCAACTTCTCAAAGGAATCTGAAAACTTCAATTGGGGGTAATGAAGAAAGCAAAGCAATTTTTAATCTAGGGGCACTTTGGGGAGGGTTCTGCTGGGAAGGACCTGAGGGAAGACTGAGGCATCAGGGGAAGTGAAGGAGAGGAGCTGCGGGCCCCAGCGGGAGGGAACTCAAGAAGAAACTCAAGAAGAAACTCAAGAAGAACTCAAGAAGAAACAGTGTCAGGGCAAACTGAAATCAAGCAAGGTAAGCCCTGTATCCAAGACGCAGAAACGTGGTGCAGTGGGGTGGGAGTGGGGAGGGTACTTGGAGGACTGACAAACCTGGGCTTAAATCTCACGTCAGCTAGTTATTAGCTTTGGACAACTAACCTTCCTGAGCCTTGGCTTTGTCATGTGTAAAATGGACGTTATTATCATTTCTCATAGGACTGAGTGAAAACTAAAACAAAATATAAAATGTAAAGCAACTGAAATATGTCAGATGATCCACAGATGTTAATCCCTTTACCTCTGCCCTTCACTTGTCTTGTGCGTCAGACCTCTCCCCATAGACTACGGCTGCTTCTGCTAGTACAGCACTCAAGTTCAGCAATACTATAGTCTATATAATTGTAGCTAGGCCCAGAAACCACCATTAAATCGTTATTTCTATAGGAGAACATGTTTTGAATTGTAAATAACTTTTTAGAAGACAGTCTGTTATTGGGAGGCATTTCTCCATGGATTTCTCATTTCTGCATGTCTGTTTCAACAAGCAGAAGCACTAACTGTCCTTTTGATCCAGACTACCTTTTCAAGGATGTTTGTGTAGTGAACAGCTCTACAACCCTCTGGAGCAGGGGGCAGGTTTGCCCACAGTCCGATATTATAAAGGTAATGGCTTCTCCCTGATCGAAGACTACACAGGTTGGCTGGCATCCTATTATGAAAGAGTCAGGTTTCCTGAGTTAGAGGTTTCTGAACATGAGCACGGCATCCACCTGGGCCCCTCTGGACCCTGTCTTGGGACCTGGGGCACAGAGAAGCAACACACCATGAAGCTCATGCTGCATGCTGGGTTGTGAGTAAGTCCTTTATCTCTGACCCAGGAATCTCATGTCTTCTGTCAGCATCCATGAAACTGTGCCAGGCTGTTTCTCAGACCTTCACAGTTCTTCACACCCACCTGTTGGAACATGTCTATCATTTACTGGCTTCCTCCCTCCTTCTTCTTCTTTGTCTGGGCCAAGTTTTCAGCCAGTGTGTCTGTGTTGGCATGTGAGGGGTGAGCTTTCAGCTGGTGCGGCTGGGCTTTGGGTTATGGAAGGAGTTGGGCAAATAAGTATTCATTGAGGACAGTGGGAGCCAGGGTTCTCACAGGATCTACAAGTGCAGAAAGGGGGACGGCCTAATAAACGTTATGGTGTTGGGTTGGAATTGGAGGTATTAGTATGAAATCATGGCCTATGGATAGATGATGGAGATGGATGGATAGATGACAGATACATAGATACATAGATATGTGTGTGTGTGTGTCATAAAGTGTCTGCTTCCCTTCTGAGATACTTCACACCCTGAGAGAAGGAACCGTTTCCATTTTGCTCATCACTGCACAGCAAGTGCAGGCCCAGGGCCCAGCAGGTAGCAGGTGTTCAGTGTATAGTTTCTGAAAGAGCAGATGGATAGAAGACCTTTAGCAAAAAAGGAAACCTACTGAGTTTCAGTGTCCTTGTCTGTAAAATGGAACACTAATTCCTGCTATGCTATCTGTGCAATGCGGCTCTTCTATGGGACATGACTCATCTGTGAAAATAGAGTCCTGTTACTCCTCACTTGCCTCCATTCAGGAGTGGAGGTGAACTTACTTATTTATGGTCTCAGATTGGAGGACAGGCTCCTGTGTGACCAGCCCGAAATGCAGGTGACAAACAGCCTTGACCATGGTATGTCCGACCAGGAGCCAGGGAGCCTGTCATCCCAGAGGCTCAGGAGGCTGGGAACTTTCTATGAGGCTGTCTTTCTATGATCTATGTGTGTCCCTGGGACTTGGTCTCTAGCTCCCAGCTCCGGTGACTACCAGGCCAGCACGTTTACAGACATTATGTAGTTCACCTTCACGGGGAGAGCTGAGCGGAACAGACGCATGAGAGCAGGGACCCAGGGAGTCAGCAGACCTGGATTCAAATCCTTGCTCTATCATTTATTAGGGGGTCATGACCTGGGCAAAGTGCTTAACCTCAGTAGCCCCCAGGCTCCATATCTATAAAATGGGGGTGATACTACCCAGCACCTCATAATATTGTTTTGAGGATCAAATGAAACAAAGCACGTACGATGCTTCAGCAGGGAGCCAGCACACACACATTCAGTGAAAGTTACATCCTTAACTATCAACAGTAACTAGGTGGTCACACCCAGAAACAGGATCCTCTCAGGGGTCCCCCTAAGCAGAGCCACGGTCAAAAGTCAGCCTGAACCAAGAAAGGCAGAATGAGAGTGGCTACTATGATTTTGATTTTCTGCACGCTTTCCTTCACTTCCTGAACTTCTTCCTTTGCTTTATCAAACAACATCATAAAGTAAACAAAAAAGAAGCAATCTCTTTAGCTGCCACTAAAACCCTTACCTCAAATGCGGCACAGGATTTGATTGGGTAGAGGAAAAGGTTGGTGACGATGTGTGACCCAAGGCCCCCATCCAGCATGCCTGCAGCTTTCTCTGGAGGGGTCTGCTGGGTTCTGGTGGTCTCCAGCAGAGGTGGGCGCAAACTCACAGCATCCACAGTGGTGGGTGCGTTGTCCCAAACCCTGGGGTCTGGGGAAGCATCTTCCTGAGGTGAGGGACTACGTCTGGCCCTGGTGGCAGGCACGGCTTTCTGAGCTTCGCTCTCTGCTGCCAGGGCTCCAGCCTCCCCAGGCGTGGCCAGAGGGAGAGGCTGGCCATGAGACGGGCGCAGTCGGGTTGCTATGATGAACCTGAGAAAGGCCTGGGCGTCCTCAAGCGTAGACATGTATCCAAACGAAATCCTCACAGATCCCGTCGGCTGCCCATCTATGAGGTCCACATCGTCACCGCAGACATGACCAGCCTAGAATAAAGAAATAAGTCGGCCAGAGTGACTCATTCCTCATGGATAAAGTGGAAACCATTTTGTAAAACAAGTTTTGTTAATTTTATAATATAAACTTAACCCAGGAAAAAAGAACTGCAACACTAATAGGAGCCGTGTGCCTGAGGCATAGGTCCAGAAGCACAGAGACTCACTCTCTGGACGTCACTCTTTGCTTAACTGTGAATTGGGATCTATACAAATCTCAGGGGGCCACTAAAAAGTCTAAAAGATACAACATTGTAAATCAACTATACTTCAATAAAAATAAATAAATAAATTTGTTTTTTTAAGTTTAAAAGAAATCATTCATGGAAAGCATTTACCAGAAACACGCACACAGTGCTCACCCACAGAGGTATCAAAAGACAGACCAAAGTTTCAGAAGCACAGATGGGTCAGCTCCTTGGTCTACCTAGGGCTTAAGTGAGAGGACCACCTGCTGGCCATGCCTTTTAGCCTCTCTCAGAACCAAAGGGAGGTCTGCATCCCTGACAGCTGCCCTTTGACAAGAGGGCAAGACAGAGGTGCTGCCCCTATGAATAACCGGCCCAAGGCCAGGATGAAAGCCAAAGGCAGCATGAGTGCCCGGTCGGGAGGTGGTGAAAGAAAGGCAAGACGTCCCCAAGCCTCTCCAAGCCTGGCATCCTGGTGTTGGTCGCTGCTCCAGCTGCCTACCTCCCCCAGAGCTGAACCCAAGTCAGTCACCCAAGGAGATGAGGCCACGGCATTCCACGGGATCAATATTACATCAGGAACTGCATTCGTTTCTGTTATAAGACTCCTTCTCTCTCTTTCTATTTATTTTATTTTATTATTATTTTTTAACCACACCATGTGGTGTGAGGGATCTTAGTTCCCCGACCAGGCATCAAACCCACACCCCGTGCAGTGGAAGCACCGAGTCTTAACCACTGGACCGCCAGGGAATTCCCCCTTCTCTCTCTCTCTCTCTTTTTTTTTTTTAAGATTTATCTTTTTTGGGGTTTTTTTGGCTGCATCAGGCCTTAGTTGTGGCACGCAGGATCTTCACTGAGGCATGCAGGACCTTTCATTGTGGCGCGTGGGCTTCTCTCTAGTTGTGGCATGCGGGTTTTCTCTCTCTAGTTGTTGCGTGTTGGCTCCTGAGCACGTGGGCTCTGTAGTTTGCAGCACGTGGGCTCTAGCTGAGGCGCACGAGCTCAGTAGTTGTGGCGTGCGGGCTTAGTTGCCCCGCAGCGTGTGGGATCTTAGTTTCCTGACCAGGGATCGAACCTGCGTCCCCTGCATTGTAAGGTGGATTCTTTACCATTGGACCACCTGGGGAGTTCCCCCCTCCTTTTTAAATAAAACATTGTTCACAGTTGGTTGGCATTTAACATATTCAATATTTAGTGGCAACCAAAAGAAACTTAAGTTAGAAACTATTCTGATATAAATAAGGGCTCTTTGCCACTCAAACCATTCTTATGAAATGGTTCAAAACAGGCTGTACCTTGAAATGACAAACCTCAGCCCAGAGGAGCGGCAGGAAGAGAGGGGACCTGAGAAATGCAGAATGCCCCGTAGAAGGGTTCCTCTCCTCACCCAACCCAGACATGAGCTACCTCCTGCTTGGAGAGCTCACTCTGGCAGGACTGAACTAGCTAAGGGCCATCTGCATGTACGAGCACATTTTCACATTTGCTTGACCCCTGTTAAAAGCCCTCTTCTGGGGGGAAAAAAAAAAAAAAAAACCCTCTTCTGCCTCGAAATGTTTGTCCTCAAACTAAAAAATGACTGCCAGAGACATAGTATCTTGAAGTGTTTTCTATTTTTGTTGACCCTTTTTCTTTACACATTCACAGGGTGGGCTCAGAGAAATGAGCTCGCAGATCCAGCCCTGACCCCAGACACACGACCAGCCTCTAATGAAGTTAGAGGCACCGCCATTGGGGTTTGCTGGCCAGCGTTTGGACCGCACGATCCAGTACCAACCTGAAGATGCTTCTTGACCACCTCATCACTTATCCCCAGGTGTCTCTGGCAGGCCCCAGTGTTACAGAAGCAGCCGGTTCGCACGTGGATGTTGTGAAGACTGGCCATTTTATCCACCTGTGGGTTTAATATATTACATGGAACCAGTGTTAGGAGTGTCCAGTTGTACTCTGATTGCCTGGGAAGGAGTTTCAGATCCACACTTGGACCTCTCTTTCTTAACAGTAAAATGAAAATATGAGCTTGGAATTTTGCTCTAAGGGGCCATGATCTATCATGGGTTTACTAAATACATTTTATAAAATGTTACTGATAATTAAATCTTATCCAGTTGGGTTATAAACATAGGTCTGAGAAAAGTGAAAGATATCAAATTCACACCAAACTCCAAGTGAAGAGCTCACATGTAAAACAAACAATCTGATTTCTTAAATGAGCAGACATTTTTCCAAAGAAGACACACAAATGCCCAACAGGTACATGAAAAGGTACTCAACATCACTAATTGTTAGGAAAATGTAAATCAAAACCGCAATGACATCAGCTCTCAAATATCTAATAGCGAGCATCTAATATCACACCTGTTAGAACAGCTATTATCAGAAAGACAACACGTAACAGGAGGTGGAGAGAATGTGGAAAAAAGGGAATCCTCGTGCACTGCTGGTGGGAATGTAAACTGGTGAGGAACTATGGAAAACAGTATGGAGGTTCCTTAAAAAATGTAAAATAGAACGAATTGCTGGAACTTTGATCCAGCAATTCTACCTCTGGGTATTTATCCGAAGGAAATGAAATCACTGTCTTGAAAGGATATCTGCACCCCCATGTTCATTGCAGCATTTGCACTAGCCAAGAAATGGAAACAACTTAAGTATCCATCAAAGGATGAATGGATAAAAAATATGTGATTTACAAATATTATTATTCAGCTATAAAAAAGGAAATCCTGCCATCTGTGACAACGTGGATGGACCTTGAGGCCATTATGCTAAGTCATAATGAAATATGCTAAGTCATAATGAAAACTGCTAAGAAATGAGTCAGACAAAGACAAATACTGTATGATCTCACCTACATGTGGAATCAAATCAAAATTCATAGATACTGAGAGCAGACTGGTGACTGCCAGAGGCAAGGGATGGGGGTCGTGAAGGTGGTCAAAAGATACAAACTTCTAAGAAAAATAAGTCCTGGGGATGTACTGTACCGCATGGTGACTATAGTTAACAACAGTGCATGGCGCATGTAAAAGGTGCTGAGAGGGCTTCCCTGGTGGCGCAGTGGTTGAGAGTCCGCCTGCCGATGCAGGGGACACGGGTTCGTGCCCCGGTCCGGGAAGATCCCACATGCCGCGGAGCGGTTGGGCCTGTGAGCCATGGCCACTGAGCCTGCGCGTCCAGAGCCTGTGCTCCGCAGCGGGAGAGGCCACAACAGTGAGAGGCCCCCGTAACGCAAAAAAAAAAAAAAAAAAGTTGCTGAGAGAGTAAGTCCTGAAAGCTGTCATCACAAGAAAAAACATTTGTAACTACGTGTGGTGATGGGTGTTAACTAAACCTGTAGTAATCATTTCGCAATATACATATATATCAAATCACTGCACTGTACACCTAAAACTAATACAATGCTATACATCAGTTCTATCTCAATTGTTAAAAAATATTTTTAGTAAATTAATCTTTGAAAAAAGAGCCCACATGTTTCAAGGGAGATTCACAAAAATAAACTCTGAGGGCCGCTGGGACGTGGGGCAGCTCCTTGGCATCCTCTGCTTCTGGGTAGATTCCCGGAGCAGGACTTAGCAGAGCTACCAGTCAGAGCAGCTCTGCCTCAGCTCCCAGCCCAGGCTACAAACATTACTGTGTTGACACTGTGTGTTATCGATCTGCTTTCATAATGTTTCAGACTTTGGGTTGAATCACAGAACTAACTGCTGCTCAATCCAGAAGTTCCAAGGCTCTTTCCTGTCCCCTGGAAGCTAGACGGGTGATTCGTAGTCACAAGGCTCAAAGGTGAGCTGGCACGAGGGATGTTTATCCCAGCTCTTCTGTTTGTGGGTCCAGCGCTCCATTCTCCCAAGGGCCTGGGGGCCCAGTGAGGGTCCTCAGCCCTGGTGACTCAGGTTAAACTTGGGGGAGTGCCCTAAATGCATTCAAGGAAACATACACATCTTGCCCAGTCAGAGAAGCCTTTGAAACTTTTCTCCCTGGGAAGTACATGTGGGGGACACAGACACAGGTCACCAGGTGGTCAGCCTGGCCTCCCTGCTAGGCAAGCGCAGCGGTCTTACCTCCCACACACCCTTATGGGGACTACACTGTCTTCCCTTTAGCCGTCTCCCCTGGATGGTCAGAGTGAAAAGAAGCCACCTCTGCTGGTGAAATCCAGGAGTTCCCTGCTCTCTGAGGTGAGATCTGGTGGCACCACTGGGTCTGGCCTACTCCACCTCCAGGATCAGGTGGTCTCCATTCAAGGGGCAGCCCCTAGGAAAGCCCCTCGCTCCCCGACCCCAACTCCAGCTAAGCTGAATGAGAAGTCTCCCCCACCCACCCCGTATCCACTATTCCAGCTACCACAGCCACAAAACAAGCCACCCAAACCTGGCGGCCTAAAACAATAACCATTTTATTGTGCTCACGGCTACAGGGGGGTCAGGAATTCAGAAAAACCCCAGAGGAGCTGGCTTGTCTGAGCTGGGAAGACTAGAAGGCTGGAAGCGACACGACGTCTGGGGCTGGAATCACCTGGAGACTCAGCTTCTCATGTATGCGTCTGGCCTCCAAGCCAGAAGGGGTCAAAGCAGACAGTCACCATCATGCCTGCTTTTGGCTTCCTCACAGCATGGCCGCTCAGTGTAAAACTCCTTACACAGTAACTCGAGGCTCCAAAAGTGAATGCCCCGGGGAGCAGTGCTGATGCTGCGGGGCCTTTTCTGACCCAGCCTCCAAAGCCAAGCAGTGTCACCTTCTGTAGCATTCTGTTGGTTATGAGTGAGTCATAGACCTGCCAAGATTCTAAGGGGAAGAGACAGGGACCCCACCTAGAAGAGCATGTGGGTGGAAGAGGCTGTTTCAGCCACGCTTACCCTTCATACTAATTTCTCATCACAACTTCATCTCCTCTCACCCTGAGACGTTTGGAATCCCACACAGGCTCGGCCAGTGCCCAGCCAGGTGAAGGAGTTGGCTGCTGGGGCAGGATGAGCGCTGCATCCAGGGAGGGTGAGAAACCGGCCTGACCACAGTGCAATAGAGCACTTGCTTCATACCAGCTCAGTGCTAAGGGGCTGTGTATTGTAACTCATTTAATCCTTGTGACAACCTATCAGCAGGGAAGATTGTTACCCCCATTTCACGGAGACTTGGGGAGCTTACATTAACTCACCCAAGCTCCCAGAGCCAGCAAGAGGCAGTCCAAATCTTAACCCACCCTCTTAACCACTGGGTAGACTGACTTCCAACAGAGGGGAGAATGCAAATCGGAGATTTGGATGTCAAAAACAAGAACCCGAAATCTTCTCACAGAAGGCTCAATTCTTTCACGCATCCCTTGAAAAAGAGACAGCCAGACCCAGCCATGATGCCATCTGATCTTTCCGAAGGCCCCCCAAATCCCTGTGGAATTCCCACATGTGAAGGAGCCCAGGAAAACCCAAGATTCTCCCGGGCCGGCACAGCTGGCCATGCCTCAGCCTCGGCCTCCACTCATAGGATGAGCTTCCTCTACAAAGGCACAGAGGGAGAAACCCATCCTGTGCGATGCCTTGGAGAATGAAGGTCCTGGTGAAGTCAGCCAGGCACCCAGATAGGCTCCCTGAGGGGGAGGGGGAGTCTTCCTTTTGAGGCTTCTCTGGCAAATGGGGGGGGGGTTCTTTCACCGCTGCTTGGTCCAAGCAGAACCCTGTAGGCCCACCACCCCCCGCCAAGTACAAAGGCTGCCTCTTATTTGTAGAAAAGCTGAAGTCTCCCAGGCCTCCCAGAGTCACAAAAGAAAAGGCTTGAGCAGTTAATGATTAGGGCAAGAGAGTCACAGACTCTGTGTCTGATGAAAGAATGGGATTAATGCCATTGCTTGTAATAATCTATATCTTTGTGGGCATAGGAATAACTGTAGCTTGCTCTGCCCATATATGTGAGCGGGCAACTAAAACTGTCAACAAAGAGATGCTACAGACCCATGTCGACGTCTTTCACTCTAAGATCTCGACACCTTCTCTCAGCATGAAGCAGTTACAGAAGATGGACCTTCACTCCTATTCCCATAGAAATGTAATGATGTCTGATAGTGGGGATTTGTAAGCAGCTCTTTTGCCCCTTTTCTGTTTGTTCATTTCTGTTTTCCTCAGACAGACCTTAATTGTAAAAATGAGATCACTAGGTAACATTTAACCTAACTCCGGACTTCTGCTCTACTGAATGTACACAGTGCCTTGCTTAACCAGGATTCCTTTCCTGGATTAAAAGGAGTAAGAATGAAGAATTAAGTAGTTAAAGAATGACTGACTCTCTAATTAAGTAGTTAAAGAATAACAGCTTCCCTGTTAGCAAATTTGCAGGCGGATAACAGGGGCAAGAGAACATCCAATTGCAGGTGGACCATGAGGACAAGACAGTACCAAACGAAGATCAGAAGTCAGTGGGTCTGCACACAATGGAAAGATGATGACAATCTGATCTCCTACCTTAATGATTAACTGAGACTCTTTCCCCTTTTTCCCTTTAAAAATTGTCATGGCTGAGCAGAATCTTCGGAGTTGGTCTCCAGACATGAGTCCACTTTCTCCCCAGATTGCCAGTTTTTCTGAATAAAGCACCTTTCCTTTCTACTGACACTTGCCCCTCGATTATAAGCTTTTGAGTGGTGAGCAACCCAACCTGAGTTTGGTAACATGCCTGCCACAGCACACTTCATGGTCGCTTGTCTGCCCTCCTCCACACCCCTGAAAACATACACTTATTTTAGGTTTGAGAACGAAACTTATTGTACCAATAACCTAGAACAACATATTTGAGAAGGCAAAGCTTTGGCCCCGATGCATTTTCCACCATCCCTCAGAAGCATTTACAATCACCCGCTTCTGAGTGGTGCTGGGCTGTGTAAGTGAGGGGCAGTGTGGGCTGGGGTCTTCACAGTCAACTCACCCAAGGGACAGCTTATGGTTGTAGAGTGTTGGCCCGTGGACACCAGTGAGAACCAACATTTCCCCCAGAGAATATTTCTCAAGTTGGTTCCTCAGTGAGTTTATGGCTATTCAGAAGTGGGGACAGGATTCCTTGAGAAATGGATTTTGTTTGAGAAATTCTGGGTTTGACAAAGGTGTGTGGAGATAGTGGCTTTCAAGGGAAGACGAGCACTATCTTCCAAACTTATGTGATGATCAAATCTGCTCCTCATGGCAGTTCTAGAAACCTGGGCTCTGAGAAGGGCCTTGAGCTCCCCATGCCCCGTGTGTGACAGCCCATCTGCTGACCACCTAGGGCCATGTCTGAGTGCTCAGTGTGACTCTAGATTTCTTAATGTACTGGGCAGTGACCAGCTTACTCAGCTGTGGTAAGGATCCAAGCAGTTCCCAAACCTGAATTGTTTTCATGGGAAAATACATACAAAGGGTATATCTACAGAAAATACTTTATAACCAATCTACCAAATCCTTTGAACTCATAATATGGATGAACTATGGCAGACATAAGGGCTTTTGTGCTACTAAGGACATCATTCCTACTTCATTAAATAAAAAAAGAGTTATGAGTTCCAAGCAACATGCAAACAAAAGGTGGTAAGAGGCCCAGAATTTTGTGTAACACTATGATATGGTCTGATGTATCAGTGGGGCTACCAAGCTGTTTGTACATGAAATGACATCAGACAGGCTGTTCTGTCTACACTACCTTAGGGTGTCTTCCCTTGCTGGCAAGCTTCAGCTGTCCCCTCTCACTGCCATCAGAGACTCGACCTCTCTCTTTCCATTTGAAATTGATCACCTGTAGCTAAATAAAGAGGGCTGAACAACTAAATAGCTGTGCTTGTTAGAACAAGAGTAAAGAGCCTCTAAGGAAGGACCAGTGGCCTCTCCAACAGTGCACAGGATTCATCATGGCTATTACAAGGGCCCAGAGGCCTTGACTGCAAATTTCAGGTCTCAGAAAGGCTTCAGAATTCCAGACAAGAGTGATTCTGTTGTGAACAGGTCAGCAAGATGAAAAGAAAACCCACCTGGGAGTAACCAATGATGTTCCCATTGTCATCGAGCACGTTGAAGCTGATGACCGGACCCTGAACCTCTGGGCTGCTGAACTCAGAGTCGCTATAAATCTGCACGACAGGGGTTCCGTTGGGGTACCGAAGGGTGGACAGGGCGGCGTAGGTGTACCGAGCCAGGGTAAAGGTGTGCTGCCTGATGTTCTCCATTCCACCTCAAAACAGTTATGAAAACAAAAGGGGATCATGAACTCCATGTAAAATTCACTATCTCATTTTTAAGAAAATGAGATCATTATAACTGGCAAACTTGGACCTCATATTAATGATTTTAAATACTTGTAAATAGTTCATGGTACTGCCCACGTGATAAATGATTAAGTCATTGGTACCGAACGACAGTTTACCACTGCTGCTTCTGTGGAATTTTTCCATAGGAATTGTTGTTGTCATCTTCCTTTTTTTTTTCCCAGCTTTTTGCACTTTAATGTGTAATACTCGAGGTACAAGAAAACTGCATCTAACGTTGTCCTAAATCAAAGAAATCAGATCAGTCCTCAAGGGCTCCAGAGTGAACAGCATCTTCATAACCTCCATGCTTATTGTCTTTGCTTTCTGGGTATAACTTGATAAGATCATTAATTTGAAGAATGGTGATTGCAGCTTCAGCTGCAACTTTCAAACTCTTAACTTTAACTATGGTTGGTTCAAACCCCCCTGCTTGTTTGTTGTCTTGGGGTTTACCATTGACCAAGTCAAGACCAATCCATTTTAGATTTTTGCGTTCTGGGTTAACTTGAGCCTCATCATGAAAAGCTCTTAATTTTGCAATCAGATCTGTGGAGTCTTGGGCAGCATTAACTGCAAGAGTATTAGGAATAACAAGAAGAGATCTTGCAAACTCGGCAATAGCAAGCTGTTCCCGGGAGCCCGTGCTGGTACGTAGTTTTTGAGGTGTATGGAAAGGGCTGTTTCTACAGCGCCCTCACCCGGAGCCACAGATTCCGACTCCAAAACTCTTCACTACACAAAGAGCTCCACCTCGTCACACGTGAAATCATTTGCCCCACGTAAGATGACTGACGCAGAGGTATGAGCCTCAGTGCTATTTAAAACAGTGAAATTCTTAAATCAATGCTTTAATAAGTCCAAGCAGAAATCCACTCTAAGTGCCTTGATGAAATCCTGCTTACACAGGACATTTAGACATGGAAGCAATGTCTAGACCATGGAGAAGAGATGAAATGGTTACTTAACCTCAATTTACAATGGCCCAACATTATTTTACCCCATGCGTATAACTGCTTATATCACTGAAAGACTATAGCAGCCAATAAATGGGAAGTCATCTTCCTTTAAAAAAAAAAAATGTTACTTAAGCATTCAGATAATTTAGACCCTTTGGTAACAGATTGCAAAAATGTACAATTTTGTCTTTAAATGTATCTCTTTTTTGCTGTTACTGTTTGTTTACGTTAATTTTTAAATCTTTTTTTTTTTTTTTTTTTTTTTTTTAGTTTCTTGGCCACACCTCACAGCATGCAGGATCCTAGTTCCCCCACCAGGGATCGAACCTGCGTCCCCTGCAGTGGCAGCTCGGTGTCCCAACCACTGGAGTGCCAGGGAAGTTCCCTAAATCATTTTAATATTATACAAAGCAGTTAAGGATACTTACTATAACATGGATGAACCCTGAAAACATTATGCGAAGTGAAATAAGCCAGACACAAAAGGACAAATATTGTATTATTCCTCTTACATAAGGTTACTAGGGGCTGGGGGAGGGGAAATGGGGAGTTACTGTTTCTTCAGTTTGGGATGATGAAAGTCCTGGAGAAGGATAGTGGCGATGGTTGCTCAACGATGTGAATATACTTAATGCCACTGAATTGAATATTTTAAAAGGGCTAAACTGGTACATTTTATGTTATATAGATTTCACCACAATTTTTTCTAAAAAAGAGCCTAACTAAGTAGGAAAAATCAGGGTTTGCCTTACTGTGGGGCTGATATTGTCAGTCTGCCTTCAGAGGTGGCCCTGGCTGTGTCAGACCCTCTCACTTGTGGTTTGGATACCTTGCTAGTATCTGTCCTTGAGAAAGTGCTCATTTCTCAATGTCTATCTTGATTATCTCCCCTTTGTCTGGATGATGCCCACTCACCTCCCTGCATTACTGTCACGACAGCCCTCCTATGAATTCTGTCTGCCCGCAGTTATAGGCTTAGGCTGAGGACCTAAGGGTCCTCTTATTATGATGAGAGAGACAGAGAGAGAGAGAGAGAGAGAGAGAGAGAGAGGGCTGCCTAACTGCTAAGCCGCGTCCCTGGTTCACCATGACCCCATACCCATGTGGACGGTACAAGCAGTTCTAGAAGCTTAGCCTCTGACAGGAGCGTCCAGAGCGCAGCAGGAGTGAGGAGTCATGGCTCACCAGACAGAGGTTCTTCCAGCCTTGTGCCTTGTGCCAAGCCCCATAAGATGGGAAGTGGCATCCATCTGTGTGTTAGCCTGTGGGGAATGTCCCCCACCTGCTCACACACCCCAAGCACTTGTCAGGAAAGAAAACATGTATCATTGCAAAGGCCAGCAGAAGAGACAGTGTTTGGGGGCTCAGGGTTAGACCTTAGCATTGCCTGGGTTTAAACCCTAGCGCTCCCAGGTTCCAGCTCCCTGGTCCTGGGGAAGGCATTCAACGTCTCTGAGCATAAGCTCCTTCGTGGTCAAAGTGGGCTCATCATAAAACTCCCCTGTGGGAAGACCCAGCAAGGTAAGAGCTAAATAAGGCCTCAGGATCTGTAAGCATTCCCAGTGCAGGGACCAAGGAGGGCTCCTCTGCGTCTGTGAGGTTATTAAGCTCTGGATTTGGAATGTCTATCACTTGTTAAAATGTTCTTTTAACCGACCAAAAAAAAAGGTCCAGTTTCTTGCTCTTGCCTCAGAAGTCATTTCTGGAAGTTCTTTAGAATCAGCTTCATCTGCATCGGTGCAGAGCTGCCATGTGCCGCTCACCTGCACAGACTCTCTCCTTATCTGAATCCCACCCAGGCCAGGGCTCCCTCGAGGACACAGGCAACAGGAAGCAAATTCCACACAGATAAAGAGGTTCACTGACCTGTGAGGCGCTCTAAGACATCGAATCCATGTTTTAGCGCTATCACGTCAAGGAAGGAGATGGTACCATCTTCAAATCTGTAATGGTGGTGAGGGCGACGAGGTCAAGCTGCGGCTAACTCCTCCGTGTGCATTTTGTATATGTGACAACGGGGCTTTGACTCTAGCCTTAGCCGTAATCCATGGAGACCTTGCCTCTGCTGCCTTATACAACGCTGCTCTCCCCTCTCCTTCTCAAGACAGAGGGCCATGCACACCAAGACATGCCGGCTGCCTCTGGGCCTGACCTGGTCTGCAGCTTACTTGGGATGGGCTGGCAGTGGTGATAAAGGGCCCTGAAAGACAATCACCACCTTGGAAGACTTCAGACTTGACAAAACCTCAAGTGCTGTGGGTTCTGGAAATGCTGCCCTTGACCCCAAGAGAGCACCACTGACAGGGCATCAATCCAGTCAGATCAATTGTGCAGCCACGAGGTTCTTGACAAGAGTCTATGATTCCGAAGTCTATAGGACCACAGCTATTATAAGGCTCTCAATAAACTTCCTGATTATCGTTATAATTATATTTGCATTTTATAATTATTCATTTAGACAAAATCCTCATCAAATATTTACTGTCCATGTACTGCATGCCGGGCACTGTTCTAGGTGCTAAGGATACGGCAGTTAACATGACAGGTAGGATCCTTGCCTTCACAGGGCACAGAAACAAGGAGTAACAAACAGCAAACATGCTGGGAAGCCAAATAAGCATCAAGCCGGGGGGTGACGAGTGCAATGAAGTTGCCTAAGCAGGAGGGCTGGCGGCTGCTTTAGATGAGATGGTCAGGGGAAGTCCTCTCCGAGGGAGATCATTCAAGCAGCAACCGAGTGGAATTAAGGGAGCGAAGGAAACTGCTCATTTTTGAAAACAGTTTTGGAGGGAGACAGAGTTCCAGGGAGAGGGTGCAGCAAAGGCCCTGAGCAGGTAGAGCCAGAACAGCAAGGAGGTCAGTGAGGCCAGGAGCAAGACAGCAAGGCGGAGGGCTTCACCCTGGATGAGAGGAGTGGCCGGAGGGCTCTGAGCAGAGAGGAGTGGCGATGGGGCCTAGGTTTTGATAAAACGGCTCTGGCTGCTTCATTAGTGAGGGGGAAGCCTGGGGCACAGCGAGGAGTTCCCAGCAAGCATCCCACAAAGGGTGGTGACAAACAGCAGTCTTTATGCAAGTTGAAGTTTTCAATGGAAATACCGTGCTTTGTATTTTAACACTCTAGGGATAAGAGTTGCTCAAAATATCATTACCGGAATGTTAATATCCTTATAAAACTAATGGTAATTAATAGATATACAGAAGTAATAATGAATCGGTTGACAGTTAATTGACCATTAATAAGTTAGTAACTAATGACTCCTTAATAAATTAAACATGATTAGGCAATAATGGCTTCTGTTATTAATTGATCAATAATAAATAATTATTGATTGATCAATAATTAACAGACTCTTAGGAGAAAAGGGAGATTTTTTTGTTTCCATCAGGGGTTGTTTCTCACTGGGTTATAAAACAGAAAAGGTTAAGAACAGAGTTCAGATGCATGTTCAAGAAACATTTGAGTTCGGTATTAAATCTCAAGCTCTAGTGCTAGGTTCACACGAAAAACATGAAGCTTCTAATGGTAAATAAGTACATTCAGCTTTCTGCGAATCCTGGTGCAGCACCTGCTATAAGGCGATTCACCCAAATTGAAGGCAAGAGGTCCAGTCCAGCCCAGCCCACTCATGCCGTGCCTGTAATGAGCTGCCCCACTCCTCTAGGTCTTCAGGTGCCCCTACTGACTAAATAAAGTTTGGGTTGTCATTTTGTTCTGCCTTTAATTTACATGATGTTGTGCCTGTCATTCTTTTCTCACTTGCTTATATTATATGCTACGTTATCACACTTGGATTCAAAAGGTTTTACATTAGCTTTCCTGTTTTAGAATTGCGCAACTCTGGAGAAGTCCTAAATGAAAGAGACATCAGGTAGCCTCATAGCCTATTGATGCCAACTCAACCTTGGTGCTTCACCTATATTAGCTCTAAAGAACTGTATCCTTTTAGAGACGCACTTTATAGGAAAAACATGAGGTGCAGAGATCAAGTCACAGGCTCCTATTCCCACAAACAGTGTGCAGTGGAGCCAGGATTCACTCCCCAACGATCCAGCTCCAGAACCTACACTCTAGACTATGACTCTACTGCCGGGACCATGCGCCTACCTGCAGGACCCTTGAGTCTGCACCTGGGTCTGCGGGGCATCTGAGCCACCTTCCCATACAGGCCCCGGGGCCTTCTCAGGCACCAGCAGAGTGACCAGCTCCTGGCCCCCACCTCATGGTATCTCCCACTGTTGGACCCAGCAGAACCCTGGGTCAGCTGCCATTTTCACCCTCTCATACCTTCAACCTTACGGTCCCCAGCCACTGGCATCTGGGGGATTCCTGGGCACGAGCCACACCACCTGTCCCTGCACCCTGAGAATGACACATAGACCAACAAACCCAGGCAAGGAGCTGCCAGCCCTCAAACTTCCTTGGTAACCCCTGGGAGGCTCACAGAGGCTGCTGTTAGCTGTGCCCCCGAGTCTGGTGGCCTCTGATATAACTGGTTCCTCTTGCTGACTAGACACCAAGCTGAGCTGATACTAGCTGCTGAAATACAGCTATGCTGTCCACATGTATGCACACCTGTTCCAAATGGTACCATCCTTTTCAATCACTGCTTCAGTTGCTGCCCCCTCAGGTCAGCGCTGTGGCAAAAGGCCTGGGGCCCATCCTCCTCACTCCCTGGAAGGCCTTCATCTCTTCTGCTCGCAGCCCTTCCCTGCAGGCCCTCATCCTCCCACAGCTGTGGAGAAGCCCACACACAGGGCAGAGTTCACAGCCCGCTATGGCAGCTCCAGCTGACCTCTGGCTCCCGGATCCGGGCCCTGCCACCCAGCGCCTCCCTTGCACCATCCTACAGGTGGCATAGGCCAGACCCGAGCCTTGCTGAGCTCCAGCGGCCACTCCCATCACCGGGTTACCTTTCAGCCACCGACTCTCTGGGGGTATAGAAGTCTTCTTCTGCAAGGTATGCAGCGGCCGTGCCTCCTCCAAAGTAGGTTTTCCTCAGCAGAGGAGCTGAGCGGCTATTCACCAGCAGGGCGCCCAGGCCAGTGGGGAAGCCAAAGATCTTATAGAAGGAGAGGGGGACAAAGTCTGCCCGGTGAACCGACAGGTCCAGAGGCGAGGTGCCCACGTAGGCAGCCGCATCCAGCAGCACGAACCACTTCCCAGGCCCGCCCACGGGGCACATCCGCCCGGACTTGACCTCTTCTATCCAGGACAGGGGGTACCTGGTCCCGGAAAAGTTACTCTGAGCTGGGTAGCAGAAGAGATGCAGAGGCTGGCCGTCGGGGTCGCTGGCAGCGGTAGCATCCTGTTCTTCCCCCAGCCACATGTCCTCTGGCCTGACTGGGATGGAAGTGATGTTCATGGCCGCGACGACCTCCCTCATGCCCACCACAGACGTGTGGCTGTCAGTGAGGTAACAGAAGTGACTCCCGCTGCTTCCTGGGCCTGGGGGCACCCACGGGAAAGCCTCTGCCACCAGTTTAAGAGCAGCTGTGCTCCCGGCCGTGAAAATCACAGTGTAGTCCTCTGGGGAGGTGTGGAAGTGTGCCAGGATCCTGGAAGAGGCACAGCATCACGGAACTCCTTGGTTTCCCTCCAGTGTTAAATGTTTGGAGCTAGTTGTATTTCAACTAAATACAACATCTGTCTACCTTAAGAGCTAGGAAAAAGCCAGATAGGGTTTGCCACATTGTGAAGTTAGGGCAGGGGCAGAGGAAGTTGTGGGAAGAGATGACAAATGGGTGCAAACCGGCAAAATCACCCAGCCTCCCAAATCCCCACCCCCAAATGGAGAAGACAAAAATCCACAACTACCTTAAACTCAGTTGAAAACACCCCTTCTCGGTCTACTGTCTGGCTCTATCATAACAAGTTTTCAATCATCAACTTGTTTAACACTGCTTTTAATACGGGCAACCCTATAGCAAAAGAGTATCATTTTCAAACTGGAAATAATTTGAAATTGTATAGATTCAAATATCTTTAGGTACCATCTAAATTATTTGCCAAAAACTAATTAATTTGTTATGTGCAAATATTAGTAAAGGGGGGAAAACTGAAAAAACAAGATGTCTAAATCTGAAATACGAAAAGAAAAAAAAAACAGAGAAAGCGTTTTTTTTTTCTCCCTGAAAAGAAGACTTAGGAACCTGGGTCACTCTGGCCCCCAGGAACTCTGGCACCAGCCCAGAGCCACACACAACAGCTTGGGCACCTCAGAGGTGCCTACCTGTGCTTCTGGTCGGCCCCGCCCTGCACCTGCTCAGCCTCACCTTCCTGTCCTCTGACCCTGATGGTTATCAGCGTGCATGTGTGGCCATTTAGCTGCACGTGATCTTCCTGAAACCAGCTCAGAAGATTTGTGGGATGTGGGCAGGGGGCAGGAAGTCCATCCACCCACAGGTGCCACACAAGTTGGCACCTCTGCTGCTCACCTGTAGCGCACCTGCTCCACCGTGTCACGGGTGAGCCTGCTGCTGCTGTTCTGGCTGTGAGGATTACCTGCCAGGTTACAAAGACAAAGCCGTTGTGTCACTACTTACAGTCTCTCCTTTTTTTTTTTTTTTTTTTTTTTTTTGCGGTGCGCAGGCCTACTCACTGTTGTGGCCTCTCCCGTTGCGGAGCACAGGCCCCGGACGCGCAGGCTCAGCGGCCATGGCTCACGGGCGCAGCCGCTCCGCGGCATGTGGGATCCTCCCAGACCGGGGCACGAACCCGTGTCCCCTGCACCGGCAGGCGTACTCTCAACCACTGCGCCACCAGGGAAGCCCTATAGTCTCTCCTTTTGTGTTCCTCCAAAATCATCTCCCTCAGTTTCTCAAAATTTAAGCAAAAAAAATATCATAGGACCCAGCCTTCCCCAAGTTTCAAACAGTAAATTTAATCAGGGAAGTGAGAAAATGCAGTAAGAAAGGAAAAGTCAAGCAAGACAAAATAATAATGGTTTAGCCATTAAAGTCAAGAAACTTTAGTTCCTCCTCAAGGGCTATAGATAAGACTCCGGGCCCTATCCTTTGAGCTATTTTATAAATACTAAAACCCATACCAGGTGGAAGAAGTTAACTGTATGCTGCCCCTCCGCAGTTCTCCATTCACATCTGCACCGCTCTCCTCCCCTCCCTGGTTCTGGGCTGGAGGGTCTTGGCCCACGCTGTTCCTCCTGCCTAATCTGCCCTCTCCTCTTTTCCGAGTGAATTCCTGCTCTTCCTCTAGCATCCGCCCCACTCCTGTAGAAGCTTTCTGTGACACTCACGCTGCCAACTCACCGTCACTCTGCAGATACAGACCCCCATAGTGCCGGGGCCTTTTGGTCACAGCCCTTTGCTCAATTGATAATTTACTTTATTTACATTTTACACTACTTTACTTTTCTTTTCTTTTTTTTTTAACATTTATTTGGCGATCACTTGATTGAGGTCTTGTCTTTACTAGACCACAGTCCATGAAGGCAGGGACTGTATTACTTTGTTCCCATTATAGCACCATGCCCCCAACACCAGAGTGGCTTAATAAACGTTTACAGGGTGAATGAATGAATGAATGAATGTTCCTCCTGCTGTCCCACCCTCTGCACTGTGCTGGTCCCACAGGGTCATCCCACCACCAAACACAGCACCCCGTGCCCTTCCTGCCACTGACCCCTTCTTCTGGAAGTAACCTGTGTGTCCCTGAGGCAGTCCCTCCCACCCAGCAGCGCATGTGCTACAGGGACTGACCCTGGGTGCTTGCTTGCCTGACCCCCTCTCTCACGGGGCTTACTCAGCTTTGTGTGTTCAGCACCGTCCCCGCCTGTTAATGTGACATTTTATTAAGCACAGATATATTAGCTGAATGTAGTTGGCTAACGTTCAGTGCAAAATCAGTTATGCTGTGTTTTTCTTTACCATAAACATTTTCCATGAGATCTTTAGTGAAGCTTGTAAGCTGGCTCTGGGGGAACAGCGTGGCTCCTGCATGGTCAAGATAGACAGTTCCTGAAAGAAAACGCAAAATAAAGCTGGGGTTATTCTTCAGAGGTATTCCACTCATCTCACCTAGATCTAGTTTGTGTGAACCTGACCAGCGCCCATGTGATGTGTTGAGACGTAACACCAGGCCCCTGATTTCTCCCAGCCTTTTGACATGCATGCTCTTTTTTAATATTCTTTCTCTTATTCTTTTCCATTAAGGTTTATCACAATATACTGAATACAGTTCCCTGTGCTATGCAGTAGGATCTTGTTGTTTATCCATCCTGTATATACTCGTTTGCATCTGCTAACCCCGAACTCCCAGTCCTTCCCTCCCCCATCCCTCTCCCCCTTGATGTGCGCTTCTGAATTCAAGTGGAGGCATGAGCAATGGAAGAACTGCACTTTCGACATCTAATGACCCTTAGAGCCCTGAGAGCCTTCCTGATGAACCAGCTCTCTTCTGAACCTGGGAGAGCAGCCCACACAGAGGAGAAGCCCAGCGGACGTTCATGCTTCAGGATGGCAAAGCTATTTCATGTTATGACACACACCCTCTTCTGGAATTTCCGCACAGTTTCCCAGGCTGTCAAGCCCTGATTCTACATTTCCATAGTGAGTTCCAAAGTCCTCACCCTACAACAGCTGTGACAGCTTCGGAGATGACTGGGAATGGCTGTGGTCTTTCCAGTCTCTCTCATAAACAGAGAAAGGTAAATTTAGATGACAGTGAGATACCAAGCGTTACCACTCAGATTGCCCCAGATCAAAAGGATAACTCACTGTATGGGGGAGGGTGTGGGGAAACAGGTCCGCTGTTACACGGCTGGTAGGAGGGTAAATGGGTGCAACTTCTTTATGGACAGAAATTTAGCAATATCGCTCATGCTTTAAAAATGCAAACTCCCTTGACCTAGCAATTTGTCTTCCAGGAATCTGTCTTATAAATTGTGAAATGGTCTGTCAGTGAGGACATTCAGTGCAGCACTGTCTGTAAAAGCAAAGCGTTGGAAATGACTTAAATATCTATCAACGTGTATTTAAAATAAAGAATTTGAATACAGCCATCTAGTACTGACATGGAACAAACTCCAAGATATGTTTTCAAGAACATACAATAAGAATAGATTCTTTCATGCACTTAACAAATATTTTTTGTTTTGTGCAGGATGGATTTTTCATTTATTTTATAAAAGCTTTATTGAGATTAATTCACATACTGTAAAATTTGCCCTTTTAAATTTTCTGATTTAGTGGTTTTAGTATATTCGTAAAGTCGTGCAACCATGGCCACTATCTAATTTTAGAACACTTCATTCATCCCCAAAAGAGACCCCATACCCATTACCACTCACTCCCCAGATCCACCCAGCCCTAGCCCCTGGCAATCACCAATCTATTTTCTGCCTCTATAGATCTGTCTACACTGAACATTGCATATAAATGAATCACACAACATGTGGTCTTTTGTGTCTAGCTTCTTTCACTTAGTATAATAATTTCAAGTGCATCCATATTGTAGCATGTATCAGACTTCATTCCTTTCTTGGGACTGAATAGTATTCCATTGCATGGATATGCCACATATTTCGTTTATCTATTCACCTGTTGATGAATATTTGGGTTGTTTCCAATTTTGCCTATTATAAATAATGCTGTTATGAATATTTGTATACAAGTTTCTGTGTGGACATATGTTTTCTCCCATTTGGTTGGCTGTTCTTTCACTTTCTTTATGATAGCCATTGAAAAAAAAATTTTTTTAATTTTGATGAAGTCCAATTTGTCTATTTTTGTTGCTTGTAATTTTGGTGTCACAAGAAACCATTGCCTAATCCAAGGTCCTGATGATTTATACTTATGCTTTCTTCTAAGAGTTTTATTCTTTCAGCTCTTATATTTAGGCTTTGGCCTTTTTGAGTTAATTTTTTAATACAGTGTTGAAGAGGGGTCCAACTTCAGTCTTTGGTGTGTGGATACACCATTTAAGAGACTATTCTTTCTCCCGTTTAATAGTCTTGGCATCCTGTTGAAAATAAATTGACCATAGATGTATGGGATTATTTCTGGTCTTACAACTCTGCTCCACTGGTCTATGTATCTATCCTTAGGCCAATGCCACATTGTTCATTGTTTTGATTACTATAACTTTATGTAAATCTTACTTACCTTTACTTTTATGGCAGTGTAAGTCCTTCCACTTTGTTCTCTTTTTTTCAGTAATTTTTATTTTATTTTATATTTTGGCTGCATTGGGTCTTCGTTGCTGCACATGGGCTTTCTCTAGTTAACGGCGAGCAGGGGCTACTTTTCGTTGCAGAGCACGGGCTCTAGGCGCACAGGCTTCAATAGTTGCAGCATGCTGGCTCAGTAGTTGTGGCTCGCAGGCTCTAGAGCACAGGCTCAGTAATTGTGGCACACAGGCTTAGTTGCTCCGTGGCATGTGGGATCTTCCTGGACCAGAGCTCGAACCCATGTCCCCTGCGTTAACAGGCAGATTCCCAACCACTGCGCCACCAGGGAAGTCCCTCAACTTTGTTCTTTTTCAAGATTGCTTTGGGTATTCTGGATCCTTTGCATTTGCATATGAATTTTAGGATCAACTTGTCAAAAAACTGTCCGGGATTTTGATAGGAATTGCATTGAATCTGTAGGTAATTTGGGGAGTATTGCCATCTTAACAATATTAAGTCTTCCAATCCATGAATACAGGATGTCTTTCCATTTATTTAGGTCTTTTTTTTTTTTTTTTGCGGTACACAGGCCTCTCACTGTTGTGGCCTCTCCCGTTGCGGAGCACAGGCTCCGGACGCGCAGGCTCAGCGGCCATGGCTCACGGGCCCAGCCGCTCCGCGGCATGTGGGATCTTCCCGGACCGGGGCACGAACCTGTATCCCCTGCATCGGCAGGCGGACTCTCAACCACTGTGCCACCAGGGAAGCCCTATTTAGGTCTTCTTTTATTTCAATGATATTTTGTAGTTTTCAGTGTATGTCTTGTACTTCTTTTGATAAATTTATTGCTGTGTATGTTATTCTTTTTGATGCTTTGGGAATTGTTTCCTTTATTTCACTTTCATAGTGTTCATTGATACTGTATAGAAATTGAATTGACGTTTGTATCCTGACCGTCTATCCTACAACTTTCCTGAACTTGTTTTTTAGAACTAATAGCTTTGTGTGTGGATTTTTTAGGCTCTTCTGTATACAAGATTATACTCTCAGCAAGTAGAGATGCTTTACTTCTTCTTCTCCAATCTGGATGTATTTTATTTCATTTTGTTGCCTAATTGTCCTGGATAGAACTTCTAGCACAATACTGAATAGAAGTGGTGAGAAGAGACGTCCTTGCCTTGTTCCTGATCCTAATGGTAAAATTTTCATTCTTTCACCTGTAAGTATGATGTTAGCTGTGGTTTTTTTGTAGATGGCCTTTATCAGGTTGATTAAATTTCCCTTTATTCCTAGCTTATTGAGTGTTTTTATATTCAAGAAATATTTACTGAGCATGTACTGTGTTCCAGACACTGTTCTAAGTGCTGGGGACATAACAGCAGACAAAATAGAAGCTGGTATGATAACGACAGAGAAAGACCATAAACAAATAAATATTAACTACGTCAGGTGGTAAGACATGTTATGGCTCAACTATGTAAAAAAAAAAAAACTACCCATGTACACACACATATAAATATAGACAAGCACTGGAAAGGCAAACAAGACACAAAGGGCAGCAGTTGACTCTGGGGTGGCCATAGTGGTGGCAACTGGAGTTGGGGGTGCTCCCTGGGCATTCTTCAACCTCTTTTGACACCTTTTGAATTTGGTACCGTGTTAAATGTATTACCTAGCCAAAAAAATTAGTTTTAAAATAATGTTCTCATTTACTAAAGATTCAGAAATAGAAAGGTACCACACCATAAGAAAGGCATTTGTCGACCCAGCATCAGGGAGACGCTCATGGGGAGCATTAGTGTCACTATTAGAAGAAGTAGGCAAACGACCCCCAAACCAATCAGCATTAGGTCTTCAAGAAAGGGAATTCCAGGGTCTCTTCTGGCTCATGCACCTTCAGTTCTTGGTTCCATGCAGGGTGAGTGACCATCAGTCAGCACCCAGAGGCTTTAAGAACCACTTGAACCACAACTGTGTAATCAATATGCTCCCTTCACCAAAACAAGGACATTCCCATCCAATGGGTTATGCAAAATATTTCAGCACTTACAGGTTAAGCATTTAATTATCCAGAGCAACCATTTAACCAGACAAATTCTCAAACCTGCAAGAAAACTTTGGGGGTGGGTAGGGGTCAGGGATAGAAAGAGGAGGTGAATCTTACTTTATTGTGGTTTGGTTTGCTTGTTTTTCCCTGCTCTCCTTCTCGTTGGTTTGTTTCTGTGTGAAAAAAGAGGGGGCTATGTTCCTAGACTCCCAGCAGCGGTAAGGGTGAGTTTATAGTCCACAACGTCTACTTCAAGCATAATATAGAGGAAATGCTGGGAAATTGTACTAGATAGATAGGTAGGTAGGTAGGTAGATAATCACAGAACACTGTCACAATTACAGTAGATGTTAAAGGGCACTGAAAGCCAGCCTGGGATCCTGGCTATCACAACTAAACTTTACATTTGAGGAAAAGGGTGCTGTTCTCTGAGAGACAAGAAGGAAACAAGGAGGGATCTACTTTCTACTTTCCCAGGGTAGTGTTGAGGGGAGAGGTCAGCCAATGATGGGTGTGAGGGATGAGAGCTGGAGGGGATTAGGGGATTAAGGAGGAGTGATGCTGAAATAATTACCTACTGTACTATAACAGCTTCTGGGATTTGCTTAAAAAGAATGGGGAGACTTTCTCAAGTCCTCTGCACCTGTGGGTATTCATTCTATAGGTGTCTCTATTTCTGTGGGTAGGAAGTTTCTATAACCAAAAAAGTTCAGAGAGAAAAGGAAAGAGAGAGACAGACAGACAGACAGACAGACAGAGGGGGCACTGTCTCCAGCAGGTGAATGGGCAACTAGGAAGATCAGAGAGGGAGTGAAGAGAGGCTGCCAGAGGGCCCCTGTCTCCTCCCTTGAGTTTCCCTACTTAAGTACAGACGGGGCCACTCGAGGAGGAGCGCACAGCCCTTAAAGCTCCCAAAGGCGGGGGGGGGGGGGGGGAATCACGTTCCGGAACATGAGAAAATGACCCAAAGAGCTGAAGTCAGTTACCTGATAACTGAAACATGAATCATGGTTGCTGCTCTGCCACAAGCAGGCAAGCGGCACCAACTGTTCACCACGACAGAATAAATACACCTCAAATCCCAGTGCCCGGCGCCACGACCTGCCCACTTACCCGGCACCCCTCCCAGTTCAAACAGCACGCCCTTCTAAGGCTTGGTGAAGCCCCTCACAGAAGGTTGCTGGAAAAGGATGAGTCCCGACCCGGTGCGGAACGCCCTCCCGCCCTGCAGCAGTGGGTTGGGAGGACCACTGGCCAGATCAAGTTTGTCTTCCAAGTTAACCTGCCTGTTTCGCCTTGCGGAACTCGAAGGCACGATAAGATCCCGGTCCTCACATCCAATGTACTGGCTCGTCCTGTACTTAAAGTTCAAATTGCACGGTTTGCTAATTCTTCAGGTACCCCAGCGAGCTGGACTTCCGAGGCATTCATTGTTCTGCCTACACTAGTGAGAAAAATGAGACTTCGAAAATACAAACTGCTGGGAGCCATCCCAGCGGAGTCTGGAGCGCAGCCTCGGGAAGCTCCTGCACGGCGGCCGCAGCCCCTCGGTCTCCAACCCGCGCGCCCGCAGAGTCGCGGTCCCAACCCCGCGAGCTGGCCGCCCGTGCACCGCTCCCGTCCCCGGGCAATCACACGAACAGTCACGGCCGCCTGGCATTCCTGCATTTTGCAACCCCGGTTCCAGTTGGAACTTTAGAGCCGGGTGTCTCGTGGCAAGCGAAGGCAAAAAGAATCCTCAGCCCTTTTCGCAGAGGGCGGAGACAGGTGGCAAAGGACCACTTTGGTCCTACATCCCTGGAAAGTCTAAGGAGCAAGAAGTCTTGGGGTTGCAGATGGGACCTCAGGGAGCCACGTCCACAAAGAGAGCTCGTGGACACATCCCTCCAGGTCTTTCGATTCAAAATGGGTCCCTAATGAGGTAACGCCGCTCCCGCCGGGAGCAGAAGTTCCTTCCACGTCGGTTCTAGAAACCGCGTGTCCCCCACGGCCTCCCGGCAGGCCCGGCGCAGCTGTCCCCGCCGGTCTCACCTGCCAGGCGGCCGAACTCGCGCGCCCGGAGCTCGTGCAGGCTGCGCCGGCCGTACCCGTAGACGAGAGGCTGCGGGCTCGAGTCCAGGAACTGCGCAAAGGCCAGCAGCTCGGTCCCCGACTGCTCGGCCCCGCCAGCCATGACACAGGCCTGAGCGCCGCGCAGTCCAAGCGGGCTGCGCCGGGGAAACGCCGAGGCCCGCCCGCCGCGACTCCGCCCCGCCGCGCCCCGGCCGCGCCTCCCGGCCAGCCAGTGGCACCGCGTCCCCACCGAGGGGCGGCGCCTCTCCCGGCAGGCCGGGCTTGCCCCGGGCTCGCTGGCTCATGGAGTTTCACTGCTTTCTGCCCTTTTCCCACCTGGGGGCAGGGGGAGAGAGTGCCAGTGGTTGTCTCTTTTAACTGCTTTCCAACGGAGTCCACGGAGACACCCTTGGAACACAAAGTTCTCGTTTACGGTACCACGGAGAGGCTGATGCAAGATGCAATGAATTGCTTTTTGCTTCTGGGCATCCTGGAACCTGGCGATCCTCCCCGCCGACTCTCCCTGGCCCGAGCCCAGCGCAGCGCCCGGGAGCCTCACTCTCCGTGGAGGAACCCCAGTGTGCGGGGCGGGGCGTTTGCAAGGAGACTTCCCCAATTGCTGTTCCCCAGTGGGGCGTGTGCTCGGCGTTTCTGAGAATGTGGCTGAGCAAAGGGTGGAAGAGGAAAAAGATTGGGGACCGATGAGTTTGGTTAATAAGGTCGCGGCAGGTGGGCACCGTCGGGACCCGCTAGCTCCAGTGTGACCCAAGCAAAAGCACCTCCTCCGCTCCGCCAGGGGCCTGCATCCCAGGACACCATTGCCTCAAGTGTGGAGAGGCGGGCCAAACCCACGGGCGGGAATTGCCCGGCCCAGTGTGAGTGTGGAAGCGGGTGGGCAGGCGGGGGCCGGCTTCCGGGGGTGGAGTGAAAGGTACTGGAGGCCCAGGAAAGGTGCCCGAGGTGAGGGGAGGGCTGTGCAGAACCCGCATCGGAGGGCGGCAAAGTCTGGAGGCTTAAGTGAGGACTCAGATTCGGGTCCTTGGGGACCGAAGGTGGGGCCCCAGAAATGGACTACTGGCTCTGTTGTAGGAAAAATGGGGCGTGAGAGGGTGGTCTTGGTCATATCCCAAGTCATATTCCTGGGGCAGACGGTGCAGATAAGAATTCAAGAGCTAGCCATAGTAAAGTGAAAGGTTTATTTGGACAGACACACACTCCGTACACAGTGTGGTTCGTCTCAGAAGGCGAGAGAGGTGCCAGGGAAATATGGGGTGTTTAGTTTTTATGGGCTGGGTAATTTCATAGGCTATGAGCGGGAGGAATATTCTAGCTATCTTAGAGAAGGGGCAGGGATTTTCGGGAATTGGGGCAGCACCCACTTTTGGTCTTTTATGGAACTGTCATGGCACGGGTGTGTCGTTTAGCAGATGCTAATGTATTACAATGAGAGTATAATGAGGCGCAAGGCCTAGTGGAAGTTGAATCTTCCGCCATCTTGAGCCTAGTAGGTTCTAACCAGTTTTTGTCACTTCCTGTTCTTCTTAATGGTTGTGTCATTCCTTTAATGCTTGTGCTCTGCCCCCTTCCTTTCTGTCTCAGCTCTCAAAGCATGCTGCAGTGGGACAAGGTGGGAAGGGCACACAGGCCACAAGTACACTGCCTGTGCTACAGCCAGGCCCTCAGTCACCCTGTGTGTGCGCTGCAGGCACCTTGGGATGCGTGACAATGCGTGGAGTAGACTCCCCGGTCCAGCCTCTGCTTGTATAAAAAGCAAGGGTTCTGCTGCCTGGTGGCCCACCAGCCCCTCCTGGCTCAGCCCCCAATACCAGGTCTGAGAAAGACCCTGGGGGTCGGGAAGGCGGGTTGTGTCCCAGGCCAGAGCCGTTGGGTACCGGGCTGCAGTGCTACAGCCGGTGCTTAGGCTTCCCCTTGCCTAGGTGGCCCCTGCCTGAAGACCGCCCTAGCTAGTCTCACTCACTGCAGAATCCCCAGGATCAGGACTTCCCTGGAGGTCCAGTGGCTAAGACTCCACGCTCCCAACGCAGGGGCCTGGGTTTGATCCCTGGTCAGGGAACTAGATCCTGCATGCCGCAACTAAGAGTTCACATGCCGCAACTGAAGATCCCCGATTCTGCATGCTGCAACGAAAAAAGATCCCACATGCCTTAACTAAGACCCGGCGCAGCCAAATATATAAATAAATATTTTTAAAAAAGAATCCCCAGGACCTTACTCTGGAAGGAATGAACGTTATCGATGGATGGATGCCCGAGTTTGCCCCTTAGCATTCAACGTCCAACCACCTCCCTGCGGCATACGGTTTGGCCATACTTGGAGCAGGAACCTTGGGCATCTTGGCCTCACTCCCTTGCACTCTAACCTCTAAATTTGACTTCTGGCAACAGTACCAACAGGAGCAGGCACTGCACTGGGCACATGTATACTCTTATCTGTGCTAATTATTCAACAGTTAAATAAACAGATCTATGAGGTGGCTCTTACAGGTGGGGTAGCTGTGGCAGAGAGAGGTAGAGTAACTTGCTCTAGGGCACACAGCTAGAAGAAGGTGGACAAGCTAGCGCCTGGGAAGTCAGTCTCCAGAGCCCAACCAGTTCAATGTGTTCAACAATCTCTCCGGTGTAAGCCACGGTGGTCCTCAGGGCCTCCGCCTCCCCACCTCTAAGTTGGGGAGAGTGCTGGGGGTTGATGCTCCCCTCACCCCTCCTTTTAATGCGCTACTTCTCCCCGAGGATCTCCTTGAGGCCAGCCCTTTCAGGAATTAACCTGCCAGAATCATCTGGAAGCCTATTAAAATGCAAATTCTGATTAAGTTGGGGGGCGTGGTGGTTAAGGTTCTGTGTTTCTGACTCACCTGGGCGATGTGGACACTAGAGTCCTTGGACTGCACCCTGACCAGTGAGGGCCTAGGTTACTTCCCTGGGAATGTAAGGAGTACCTCTCCTCAAGGTGTTATGTGGCCAAGTAACAAATCACAAATCCACAAGGGTGTTCCTTTAGGACAAACTTGCTAGGGAACAATCTGAATGGGCCAAGTCAGAACTCCTTTAAAAAAAATTTTTTTTTAATTGTGTTAAAATATACATAACATAAAATTTACCCCTCTTAGCCATTTTTAAGTGCACAGTTCAGTAATATCAGGTACGGGAAGGAATGAACCACCCTGTTGTGCAAACAATCTCCAGAACTCTTTTCATCTTGCAAAACTTAAACTCTATACCCATTAAATAAGAACTCCCCTTTCCCCCTCCCCCAGCCTCTGGCAATCACCATTCTATTTTCTGTATCTACAAATTTGGCTACTCTAGATACCTCATATAAGTGGAATCATACAGTATTTGTCTTTCTGTGACTAGCTTATTTCACTCAGCATAATGTCCATGGGGCAGCATGTGTTCAGAATTTCCTTCCTTCTTCAGGCTGAATAATGTTTCACTGTATGTATATACCATATTTTTGACCCATTCATCTGTTGATGAACACTTGGAATACTTCCACCTCTTGGCTCTTGCAAATATGCTATGAACATGGGTGTATGAGTATCTCTCTGAGAATTTACTTCCAATTCTTTTGGAAATATATAGTCAGAAGTGGGATTGCTGGATCATATGGCAGTTCTATTTTTAAGTTTTGAGGAATTGCCATAGTGTTGCCCATAGCAGCTACACCATTTTACATTCTCACCAATGGCGCACAAGGGCTCCAATTCCTCCACATTCTCACCAATAGTTATTTTCTGGTTTTGTTTGGTTTGGTTAGGTTTTTGTTATTGTAACAGTAGCCATCCTACTGGGTGTGAGGTGACCTCTCATTGTGTTGTTGATTTGCATTTCCCTAATGTTTAGTGGTGTTGAGTATCTTTTCACGTGCTTATTGGCCATTTATATATCATCTTTGGAGAATTGTCTGTTCAAGTCCTTTGCTCCCCCCTGCTCTGCCCCCAACTTGGTTGTTTTTTTGTGTGTGTGGTACGCGGGCCTCTCACTGTTGCGGCCTCTCCCGTTGCGGAGCAC